CCCTTAAGAATGTAATCCGTTAAATCTGTGATCAACTGCAGCAAACACATGTCCTCGTAAACAAACTGAGAGCTATTGACACTCGTTAATCCCATCAAGCCTACGCCAGCACCACCGACTTGTAGATAATTAAACCCAGTCTCACAAATATTCCAGTTATTTACTTATAATTCCATCCGAATTTCAACACACTCTGAAGGACACAGCCACCATCTGGACAAGCAGCTAAGTGAACTGGCATTCAGACAGCCCTATACTTCTACTGAATAGCAGGTCATCAGCATTTTGATATGATAACTTAACTGATTACTGTAGTCATAATTAATCCATTATATTGGCAGTAAGGTACATTCAGATTCCAATCATGGAATCAATAATAAACTCTCAAATTTTCTAAATTAGCTACCGTTAATTTGATTTAATTATCTAAAGCAATGATAAAGTTAATTTTTACATGCTAGAATCATCAATAGTAGCTAGGGTCAGCATGTTGCTATTGTTTCCAAATATACAGTCAAAATGGGGTGTGATGTGGTGATTAGAACTGAGTGGTTCAGTATGTTTTACGCCACTTTTAGCAACATCCCTGCAATTACATTGTGGGGGACACCAGAACACTACAAACCTACCTACGTAGGAACTCAAACCCAGGTCTGCTTTTTCCCCAAAAATATTTTCTTCACAATTTGGTGTTGAAGAGTGTTCTTTCTACAGTTGAGATCATCCTAAAAGCAAATCTGGTCCAGACAATCCCATGATTGATACTGTGAGCAACGATACCTTGTAAACTACACCTGTTGAAGATGCCAGGGTGCTGTTGTACAGAACAACCTTAGCACTAAGACTACCGTAAGTCTATGTTATGGCATGGGAGTTACGGTCACCTTATGTACAACAGCACCCTGAATCATACCTCTTATTAAGGTTGTTAAGATCGCCTTAATGTACAACAGCACCCTGAATCATACCTCTTATTAAGGTTGTTAAAAAAGATTTCCTTATCTCATAATCCAACTGACAAATAAATATCCTAGCCTAAAATTTACTTTCATATTTAAGTAAGGTTGAAAAACAACACCTCATGCATGAATTGGGGCGGTGGGGTAGCCTAGTGGTTAAAGCGCTGGCTCGTCACGCCAAAGACCTGGGTTCGAATCCCCACATGGGTACAATTTGTGAAGCCCATTTCTGGTGCCCCCTGCCGTGATGTTGCTGGAATATTGCTTAAAGCGTCGTAAAACCAAAATTCAGTCAGTCATTCATGCATGAATTATTTTGAATAGACACCAAGAACTCCTTGGACCTTAAGCTACTGATGGGCCCATCCAAAAGAGGTCACATTAACATCAAGAGGAATTTATGAATTTGTTACCTAAGATAAAAATACCTTCTGAAGATAATAACACCTTATCTCCATTCCCTCTAAGTTTGAAAGGGGCGGTGGGGTAGCCTAGTGGTTAAAGCGTTGGCTCGTCACGCCGAAGACCCGGGTTCGATTCCCCACATGGGCATAATGTGTGAAATCCATTTCTGGTGTCCCCCGCCGTGATATTGCTGGAATATTGCTGAAAGCGGCGTAAAACTAAACTCAGTCAGTCAGTCAGTCTAAGTTTTAAAAAAAGTCATGAGAAACAATATGTTTCTAACTGGCTGAACAAAACTAGTTCATGTGTGTTGGTTTCAAATTCTAATGAGGAAATAAAGCACAGGATCACCTGACAATGGGTGAATTACCATAAACTGACCAAGTGAGTATCCTGTCCATGAATAAATACTTCTAGACAACCACAGTAAATACTCAGCCAACTGAAGCTGGGGTCTACTATAGATGTGGCAAAGCTGGATATATATGTCAGGGTAGAGACTGCGATCTGGTAGAATCGGAGATTCTACCAGTAGAGATTGTGATCGGAGTCTCTACTGGTAGAATCTCCGATCCTACTAGTAGAGATTGCAAGAGATTGCAATCGTAGTCTCTACTGGTAGAGACTACGATTATATGGAATAAACTATGCAAGCAAGTGCAAGCTTATGCAAGCAAGTATAATAAGTGGGGGTATTTTGTTTTTGTTTTTTGAGTGGAGTCCAAATTTGGCAGCTTGGTCTCATGATGTAAATACAGTGTTACAAACCATTTTTAATTTTTATTTTGATATTGTTTACAGTGAGGTGTTAAATGTTTGTTATAAAAGTCTCAGTTAAAAGTACGAAGTTCATTCAGATGTATTTCAAAACCTGCCTTACTTGGACCTGTTGTTAATAAACTACTAGTAGGATCGGAGTTTCTACCAGTTGAATTGGAAAATGTTGTTTTCTCCGATTCAACCAGTAGAGACTACGATTACAATCTCTACTAGTAGGATCGGAGATTCTACCAGAAGAGATTGCGATCCGAGTCTCTACTGGTAGAATCTCCGATTCTACCAGATCGCAGTCTCTACCCTGACATATACATGAGTGAGTGAGTGCAGTGTTTTCCAACATCCGTGCTCGTTTTTGTGCGGGAGGAAAGAATTATCTCGATTGTATGGTTGAATAACGTCAGACAAAAATATCTTTTCATGCAAATGTGACAACATGCTCTTCGGTTCAAAGTTACAATATGTTTCATTTGTTTTCATTGGTGTTGGGTGGGGGAAGAGGGAAAATGTAACTTTACATCATAATTACTGATGATTATTGAATAATCATTCTATCTGAGTGGAACTATGAATGAGTTGGTCATTCTGGCAAGTGTGTTTGAGAATGGAGTGAGTGAGTGAGTGAGTGATGAAAATTTAGATTTCACTTATAGCAATACCATCTAAATCATCTGAAATTCAGCTAGCTCTTAGGACACTTTTGATAGTAACAAAACAATAGCTGACCAGAAGACTTATTTCTCTGGTGAGTTTAAATGTAAAATGTTAGTAACACCGTGAAACATCAGCTATATGAGGGAGGTAAACCTGAACTGATGGTCTTTGATCTTTTCTAGTTTGGTGACATCTAAGTGAGTGAGAAAGAGAGTGTTTTATGCCGTTTTAGCAATATTCCAGCAATATCACTGCAGGGGACACCAGAAATGGGCTTCACAAATTGTACCCATCTAGGGAATCGAACCCGGGTCTTCAGCTTAACAAGCGAACGATTTAACCACTAGGCTATCCCACTCCCCTTGGTGTTAAGGACACAAAATGTTGCATTTGATAGTCACTACAATGATAACAGACACAAATAATAGTAACTCACAGTCCCACTCAGCAATGATGTTGGAATGATTAAAACTGCTAATCAATTTGAGACATGAGTGTAAAATTGATCTTTTTTGTATTCACTCAGCAGTTATTTATCTATACCTGGTCATACATTGAAATGTCAGTATAAATTTCCCAAATTACATTTAATTTAAAATTAAAAAATAATTACCATTATCAAGGCTAGTAAAAATGTTAATATTAAATAAAAATGAAAAGTTTAAAGAAATAGTGATATTTCACTTAGTTTAGAATCCAAGATAACTCAGTTGTTTTCATTCAGTTCATGTTTCGTTCAATCAGTGCTTGCCCAGTTCCTTTCACACAGTCTTTACTCAGTCATTAGGTTTCTATTCAAACAAGGAAATCACCATCCATAATATACTACTCAACTTTAAATAGGGATAATCAGAAATGTCTCTGTATTTAAATAAAGGGTGAGTGAAGTAAAGTTTACTGCCATGTGAGCAATAATTTATACAATTTGTCAACATCAACAGCAATATTCAACCCATTTAATCAGAGAATCCTGACAACTTATGTCTCTTGTAACAACATACAAACATACCAATGGAATTTTTTAAACCCCCAAAGAAAAATGTCAATGTCATTTCTTGAAATCTGATATACAATGTGTATATCCTGTGTGTATATATCTCTGAAACTTACAATACACATGTGTCACTAGCAATCAAGAATGTTCTTTTAGGTCAAAATGCACACACTTGTTGAGCAATCAGAACCAATTAACCCAATTAATTAGCCTCATCAAGGTATTGGTATGCGTTGTTCAGTCATGCTTAACAGCCAGTCTCCCATCTTGTAGGTCTTCCTTTTCATTTGGATTATATGTAAATGAGTCATACTTGCTAATTAAATTTATGAATAATGAAATGTAAGATCAATCACAGCAAACATAATGTACACTATGCCCTAGGATCATATGGCTGTTGAACCTGAGGTTTTCAGATCAGAGGGATTACTCATTTATCCTGAGCCAGAATCTAAGCCTCAAATATTGACAGCATCTTTATACTTAGATGCCCATGTTTATTTATTATTGCTATTTTTAGATTTATTATGTAATAAGTGAAAGTCAAGAAAAGCATTTAGCTCACATGTTGATTAACTCTTTCTGTTTATCATATTTTATTATGAATGCAGCCAATCATATAAAAATCTCTTCCTGGTGCATCAGTTTATGCTAAAATTGAATGAAATTGTGACAGACCAATTCCAAATAGTTCCTCCATTCATAATGCAAGGAAATGGTAAAGAGAATCAGACAGAGTGGATGTTTCATACATAAATAATCAATAGATTAACATGAGATTTCTTGATGTAGACTGCAGTATTAGTCATGATGGGCAGGTTGACTGAATCATGTCAGGAATGAGTGATACTACTACTTGAGAGCTGGATGCAAAATTTAGCTATGAAGAAATAGAAGAATATTGACTGTATCCCCCAGAACGAGACCGGATGACATCACTAAGGGGACATAGTCCCTGCTACTCGTCTCATGGCATGTGTTGTGCAGTTCTTGGGATCTAGACTGCATTTATCAAAATAAATGAAAAGCAAGTGTCAAAATATTCCTGATGTGGGGGTGGGGCGTAGGAAGGGCGATTTTCAGAATGAGTGGGGTCATAATTTATACAAGATGGCCGCTGAACGACTGAGAATGCACTAATCCAGTAAGATCATCGAAGATTCGACCGGCGTGTACAGTCAAGCCGGTATATGAAAATTGTTGCAACTTACCTGCGGCTGAGTTTGTTGCACCTGTCTCGTTAAACTATCACGTTCCTTCTCCACCTCATGAAGTTTGCCCTGTGTCAAAGCAACTTGATCTTGCGCTTCACGCAAACTCTCCATCAATTTATCTCGCTCATCCAACATGTTCACCATCAATTGCTCAAAATTGGAGTCATCTCCCGAGCCTTGCGACTCCCGATCATTGGAGCCGTCCTCGGCGATGGTGGGCATCACGTCGCACATCATCTTGAAGGCCTTAGAGTAGAATTATGCCATAAAACTGGCTACACAGAACGTACAGTAAAAGCACTAAGACTACATGAGTAAATGTCTTCACTTCAGAAGTCGGCTACTCATGCGGTTTCGGCGAGCGATTTCTCGCCACCGGTTAGTTCGATCATTGTAAAATCGACACAGTCTCCAAATTAACTATTTAAATGTCTCCTCCGCTTCATCTGGTTGCTATGAAATCCGTACAAAGTCCTGAAAATCACCTGTCAAACAGCTCCTCATCATTCTAACCCATTCACAAGAGGAGCCATTTTCTTCTGGGAAAAGTGTGTCATACCCATAATTCTGTGTAAAGGGAGGTAATTATTTGAAGATCCACCAGGTGACGCTGACGGGGCACTTGTAAATATGGCGGCCGGACCTCCAAGAATTTTTCTTTCCTCTCTATTTATTTTCTTCCAAGGAAACACCCAAAATGACGCATAATTTTGGTGACAGCAATGTACCATCATGCCTAGGGTGGGTAGAAAAGGGCGGCAGCAAAAGAAGGCGGTTTACAGCACATTTAGTGGTAAGATTTACCTCCAGACGTGAAAGTCGCCGGGATGCACAGAGCAGCAAATTGACACGATAACATCCAGTAGCGGTTACCTATTTCCACCTTTTTGCTACGTTCCCTATGTTATATACAATCCTGTAATCTTCCAAGTAATGATATTAGCCTTTATTACGGGATGCCAATGATCACACAATTTAATTGTAAATGACATCTGTCACATTGTCAAAAATGTCAACATGACCTTTCGGGTCACGTCAGATATGCTTACGTCAGTATTTCACAATAGTCCCGTGTTTCGGCGAAATGACGGACGAAACCATCGGTTCCGCTGATACCTCTAAAGGTAATTTGACAAGAAGTTATTTTTATATCTAAATTCGTAAACTGTGAAATTTTCAGTATGTGTTAGTGTTAGTTGTTTGCCAACTTATATGTAAGTTGCAATGACGCCATTAGGTACTGTCACCTTTGAATCGCTAATCATCAAAACTGACACCAACATAACAGTGGTGTGAACAGAGACATTGTCTTAGGCATATCAAGAAATTAAAATCATTAAACGTCATGTAATTGATAAAGTTCAAACATTAAAATATTTTCTATATAACAAAAAACCTGCACTGCGAACAATGCTGCATGTAACCTAATTCGATGGTTTCACATTACGTTTCAACTTGCCGTGCGCATGCGCAGAGCATGTGAAAAATATCCACCGGTCAACTTCCTGGTTTGGTCGTATGTTTACGGATGATGTAAATACACTCTAAATAAAAGCTGTTATGAATATTATTTACGTTGTGACAACTGTTCATAGCTGAGTACATACTTCCATTTGCCAATGCTTTTCAATAATTGATGTCCCATTTTGGTTGCAATTCCATCAGAGATGTGGGGTTTTTTTAGTTGTGAGAAGGGGATGTGCGGGAAGGATGGTGGTGAGATGTCTGTATACAAGAGCTTGTTAACATATAAATTAAGCTATTTATATAACTAATAATAATATAATAATAATGCATATTTATGTGTGCCCAATCAACACTACCTAATCCCGGCCATTGTTTCATAATTCAATTGGGATCAGTTGCATTTGACATAAAACTATATATTTGTTTTGATTTCGGTTTTCTTTAGGGTGTGTTTACACTCGGTAAAGCATATGACCAAACCGAAAGTTGACCAGTGGATAGTTTTACACGCTCTGCGCATGCGCACAGCGAGTCGAAACAGTAATGTGAAACCAACGAATGACAGTGCTGTAAGTGTAAAGGACCTTTGCAAAATATCGAAAGTTAAACTTCTGCGTGGCTTGGATATATCCATTTTGTTAATCTCACATAGATAAACAAGAAACTAGTTCCAAGGGAAAACATCCATTTTAAAATATTTGTAAATATTAGATTCTAGTGTCCAAGGATAATGAATTTAATTCATAAAGTGATATGGTTCTATTCCCTGAATGTGTGAATGAATCATGACAGGACTAAAATATATTTATTTGTTTTACAAGGTATTTTGCAACATTAATGTTCCAAGTGACATTGTCAACAAAGATTCCATGGCCATGTTAAAAAATTGTTATGTAACCACTGACCTGGGTATCTCTGTTACTATTATTGATTTTAAGAAATGGAGATTTTAAAGAACTCTACTGACCCTACTCTGGATATTTTGGCCTAATTACTTCTTGTTCATTTGTAGATGTGACATTGAACGATTATGCAAATGCTGACAAGGGAGGAGGGTCGACTTATCGAGTCAAGAAAGGAGCTGCCAAGGCTATTGAAAAAGAAGGTATTTTTGTGTTTTGTTTTAGCATGTGTTTGTTAACATGTTTTTGACATATTTACACACACTTTGCATCCTCAAATAGCAAAGAGTAGTTTTGAGTTTGAGTGTCACTGTGTGTGGATGTGTTTCTGCACTGTTTTGAAGATTCTTTCAGGGATAGACATACCCTTTAACTGTTGGTCTGGGACAAGCAAAATTCTAAAGAGACACGGTTGTTTTCACCGACAGTCCACAAATGTCACTTGTCCCAAGACTAGCTGTGATTAGCTGGATGTGATATGACCATTGGTGTCTACCCATGCACTGTTGGGTTCCATGGTCAGGTTGTATCCCACATATACTGTGATGCCCGTGAAGATCCGGGTTAGAATTGATCTTCAGTATCCCATGTTTGTTGTAAGAGGCGACTAATGGGATCAGGGTGGTCAGGCTCGCTGACTTGGTTGACACATGTCATCGGTTCCCAATTGAGCAGATCGATGCTCATGTTGTTGATCACTGGATTGTCTGGTCCAAACTCAATTATTTACAAACCGCTGCCATATAGCTGGAATATTGCTGAGTGAGGCATAAAACTAATTTCACTCACACTGTTGTGTCCAAAGTCAACTAATTACTCAAAAAGAGAGAATCATTTTTCGTTTCCTTTTAACTTCCAAATTTGTATCATTCCCATTTCACTTAAGTTCAAAATTTAAATTTATATTTCATTTAAGATTCTAAGTTTTTAATAAACCAGTCTAAACTTACCCTTACATATCTGTCAAGGGGAGGTAAATGCCTTGGGTCATGTATATCATGCCATGGGCTCTCAGCTTGCACATGCTCAAGTCACCAAGACCACAAGCTATAGAGGTCTAAAACAATGTCAGTCTACATTTAACTGAACTTTAAAAGAAATGTAACAAGAAATAAGAAGACAAGAGTAAAGCATTAAGAACAGGGGTTCAAAAATCCCATCGCCCGACGCCCGGGACATGTCAGTTTTCATTTCGGGCAATCAAATAATGGTATCTTACTTGTCCGTGGGCTAATAGATAATTTCCACATATGATTTCAAACTGCAAATAAACTTGGATTAAATTTCATATCTGCTCAAAATGTAGCTATTAAATTTTCGTGAAAGTTATCTTTCTTTGCTATTTATCACTTTTCAATAAATGATAATAAAATAGAGTTATCTTTCTTTGCTATTTATCACTTTTCAATAAATGGTCCAGTAAACATTAACATCAAATACCATGTTGATTTATTCTTTCATAATTACATGATCATGATATATTTGTCTCCTTAATGTGTGACCGCCTCCGTGGTGTAGTGGTTAAAATCAGGGCAAGTGGAAAATTAGTCAGGACAAGGTACTTTTGGCTCGACAAAAGGCCACTTAGATGTCTCTGAGGTGCATGGTTGTTACCAGTGGGGGACTTCAGGTCTGGGCTAGGGGATGGCCGAAATATTCTCAACACGCATGCATGACGTTTATGAGCCCAATTTCACCTCACCTCACCTTAATGTGTGATACACATATATGTGTCTGTAACAATACAAAGCATGTATTTTACTATTCTGGTTCATGTCAATGGAGTCCCATTACTCCATGTGCGATTTGTAAAATATGGTGTTTGACCCCTAGATACCCCTCTGACCTAACAGTTGGGTAACAAATTCTGTTTATTCTGTTGTGGTACATAATACGATCTTATGCAATGCATATCACAATACATGTACTTTGTTCATGTTGTGTAACATGTGGTTAAATTTAATTCGCGTTGATTTTGCAGGAATTATGATATTTTATAGCGAATATCTGGACTCATATTTGTTAATAAAAATGTGTCATTTTAGGCAGAACCATTTTAAAGATAAGATAGAAAAAGTGTAGAACAGAATTATAGTGGTAAACAATGTCCATTGTGTAATGTGGATAAAATTGTTCATTATAATATAGGAATGATGCATTTTACCAACAGAGGTTTTTCTTCCATTAGTCTTGAATGGTCAATGTTTGAAGTTATACAGATTACAATATGAACCATTACCGAGTACAAAATGGATAACCCCTTCATCTATTCTTTTGTTTCCTAGGCTTCAGGCTTGTGGGGAGTGGTGGGGTAGCCTGGTGGTTAAAGCGTTCGCTCGTCACACCGAAGACCCGGGTTCAATTCCCCACATGGGTACAATGTGTGAAGCCCATTTGTGGTGTCCCCAGACATGAATTTGCTGGAATATTGTTAAAAGCGGCATAAAACTAAATTTACTCACTCACTTTCCCCCAGCCACCTGCTGGGAAAAGTCTGTTTGATTTACAACACTACTCAGTCTAACAGACCAATAAGAATACAAGTTAAAACCAGCCACAATTTGGGGTTGGCAGACACAACAACACTGCAACAAGTCCCATTGATTATGGTACAGTTTGCAAGTTGTTCAACAGGGAAAAATGACTGACATCCAAAATAACTCCTTCATAATCTTTTTGATGGAAAGGATGTCATCATATCCTCCTCAGAACTTTCAATGATGATGTCGGATATTTAGTGATATGTACCCATGAACCTGCTTAGAGGGTGTTACTCTCACTTAATCCTGTTAAGATCATGCTGTTATTTTTAATCCTGTATATATATAGAGAGAGCTTCATACTCTTAATCTTGTTGAGATGGTACTATTTAATCCTAATCCTGGCTAGAAGGGGCTATTTAGTTTAACCCTGGTTACAGCTGCCATTTACCTTAAAGGTCCACCACTGTTCACACCTTTGTCTGTAAACAAGGACCTGTAGACAGAGAAATGAAAGCTAAAAAGGCTACACATGGTAATATATGGTTGTAGTTTTTAAAATTAAACATGGAAGTCAAAGGGTTCTTTTGATCAGTACATAACCTTTATGTAACCATATGCAGGTTCCAGTGCTCTCTGGGGCGGTGGGGTAGCCTAGTGGTAAAGCGTCTGCTCGTCACGCCGAAGAACGGGTTCGATTCCCCACATGGGTACAATGTGTGAAGCCCATTTCTGGTGTCCCCTGCCGTGATATTGCTGGAATATTGCTAAAAGTGGCGTAAAACCATTCTCTCACTCACTCACTCATATTGAAGACTGAGTCCTATTCTTGAAATATCACATGTTTATTTATACAAGCATCTCATGACTGATGTCGTAATGGAGATTTGGAGCTCACTGATTGCCCTTCTGTGTTACAGTGAGGCAAATGATGAAGGAGCCCGCAGGATCTGTGGCCACTGTTGGGGAGGACCTGAGCTGGTTTGAGAAGGACTTGGAGGACTTCCACATTGCCACAGAGGACGACACGGACCAAACTGTGGAAGAAAATGGTAATACCTGGAGACATGCCTGGGGTCCACAAGTAGGCTATAGTGCCACTGTCATAGCTTCAATAGTTTCCATTAGGGCTGTAACGATGCATCAAACTATTGATGGATTGCAATTGTTGAGTTTCCGATAGCAATTAATCAATGGTAGAAACGAAAAACTATCGATCCATCGATAGTATGTGTGACTATGGATAGTTTAGTAATTGACTTCTATTGATAAATGTACAGCGCAAAATACAGGAAGTACCAGATTCGTTTACGTTGATTTAGAGTTATCCGCCCCTGCAGCTTCATTGAGTTTATGTTTTAACTGTTTACTTGATCTGGGTTTCAAGTTTCTTGTCAGTTATTAGAAGAGAGTGAAACTACTTCAGCTTGGTTTTATTTCATATAAACTATACATTCATTTTGGAAATGTCTTCAAATGAGACAATTCGAGGAGAGAAAAAGTATTGCAGTAGTACTGCAATAGTTGGTCGCAATAGTTGGTCGCTATAGTGTGTTACAATAGACTGTCGCTATCACAATAGTTGTTTCCCCTCAATAGTCACCCCTAGTTTCCATTTACTTTCTAACAGAACTAACCAGAGAGTTCATTTTATTTGATGTAATTTTAATGTTAGATTTAATTATATTTTGCAGTGATGAAATGGACACAGAGTGATCCCAGTTGTAGAAGTTTCAAACTGATTTGAAATCAGTAGATTTTAAAACTGAAATTTACAGGTATCAAATCTTTGTTTGAAATATGTAAATTAAAACAGCAAAAACATTTTCTCCTTAGTTCTAAATATCTCCTTAGTTTTAAAATTATTTCTTGAATATCCATGTATTTCAGGCGAGTGTGAAGTTGTTGAGACAAGGCGCAGACGCCGCAAGACCAAGTCTCAGTCTGAAGGAGATGAAAAAGGTTTAGTTTATCCATATGATTTATGGTACCAGCTCAGTTTGCACATCCATCCAGAAGATGTGGGGCGCTTTGCCGCCATTTGTCGCACTGCCTGTTGCCTCGTATATTCCAGTGCTTTCTGGCGGAACATGTATCTCAGGTATGGATTTGAAACTTTTTACTGGACAATCAAACATGAGCATTAACAGAATGGATACCATATTCAGAAAGATATTTTTGTTCATTATAGTGAAGACTAATTTACTTGTTTCTCTTTCTTGGTAAAAGTATAGTGAACTAAAGTACTGTCGGAAACAGAAAAAAAAACAGAAAAAAACCCTGTTTTTAGGCTGTTACTCTGTATCCCTAAAATTTACAAAATGGAAATAGCATATTTATATATACCAGAGTTGTGTCCCTTAGCTAGGAGAATAAAACAACTGCTTGTAAAAGCCAACCTGCTCAGGTCCCAAGTATTTTATTGTAAAGGTAAACCATAATATGTTTATGATATTGTGTGTCACTGTGCCCCTCAAGCATGGATCATTCGCTTGCTTTGAGAGAATTTCCCTGTCGATCATTTAATGTCCTCAATGCCATGGCTGAATATTGCTGACTGCAAAGTTATAGAATAGCCACTCACTTACACCAGTTACAAGCGATCACGCGAATATATTACATATTACTGTCATCTTGCAGGTATTTCGAAAAGTCTGTGAAGTTGCCTGATGATCTTCAACCATCCAACATTGAACGTATCCGCGGATTACGAGCCCGAGTGATCCGGTGCATGTTCTACCTCTATCGACCTCTGGCTGACAAGACCATGCCCCTTGTACCTTTTGAAAACGAACCACATGAGCTTCAGGGACAGCGCTGTCACTTGTCATGGCACCAACCTGTTAAAAACATGTGGAACTTCTGCTTTAAGTTCACCAAGGGGCAGCCTTCTACCCGACCATTCCTACCAACAAAGATGGCGACGAAAAATGACTTGCTTCCAGGCTACAATGATCTCTTTTACAACACCGAAGATGGATGTCGAATACTGCAGGTCACAGTTCAAAACTTCGTTCCCATTCCAATGGTCATGGGGTTGGTTTTGAGCAAGGTATACCTTACTATCAGTGCACAGATGAGATACTACCGACTTCGCATGTTGTTTGACACCAACTTACAGGGAGGTAACTCTAACTCAGCAGAGATGATCGTTGACCTTGACCCTGTTGTGAACATCCGAGTTTTACCTTGGTGGGATCCAAAGTATCCCTTCACGTGTTGACCTTGTTGCCATGGTTTCTGAGACTGGAGGGGTCATCGTTGGCATGGGTACTACAGATATGTACAGAGGTACAGATAAGCTGCGTATCTGCGTAAATTATGCAAATATTTATGTGAAAACTCAGTTCCTATTAAGTCTATTGTGTACAAGTACGCTTGAATTTTTTGTAAATACTCAATAAATGTGATCTTACATGTGTACACACAAAAAAGTCAAATCTTAGCTTGCGTACCGGTGGATAGATAAAATAACTGAGGTATATTGAGAGGTTCTATTTCAGCACACAAACTTGACAACTTGCAGTTTGTCTTATCGTTTCTGATATTACAGATCAAATAAAAATTACAAACACTAACATTTAAACTTCATTATATTTTTAAAATTAATAGAAAATGGCAAAATACCCAATTGAGTTTGAGTGAGGTTAGTACAATTTATTTGGTTACTCAAAGGAAAATAAGGATACCCAATTGAGATGAACACAAGTGAGTACATACCTCAATGACCCAAAAAGTTATCTGTAGCTCTGTATGTACCCCAGGTACCAGAAATCAGATACAGAAATGTACCCTGGGACAAGTCCATTTCACATTGTGTCGTCATTCTGTTGTATGAGATGCATGTGATTGTATTATATAAGAAACGATCATACACAGTAACATATATTTCGCATTGATCAAAACCACTCACCATCAGGCGACCAAGCACAACTACAGCTTGTTCAGCTTGACCTGATCAAGTGAATACTAATGCATTGCCATACTCTGGCACAGCAATGACTAACATAACATCACTGCCACAGGCTAATTTGCATATCACGTGACCAGACTTTTTCTCTTGTTTGTAAACAAACGCGCATATTCATAATAAGAAGAGACTGGCCTTACGCACGCTTTTTGGCGCGCTCTTCACAATGTTTGTTACATATATATTCTTCCACAACTGCGACAGTAAGGTCTATGACAGTACATATTTAGATATCAAACTGGCTGCATCGTTTGCTCTCTGTCGGCTTCGATGATAGCACGTGGAGCCGTACAACCTATGTAAAGAAAGGATCGCTACGCAAATTGAAATAGTGTTACATGTTTTAGGATATTTTCTCAGTGAAACTAAACCATTCTATCAAAGATGTTTAATTAGATGTGTAGGCTCGTCAAAAATAAAAGAGTTAAGAAATATGTACATTATATTGATCTGACGAATCGTCACATCTTTCTGGCCTGTGGCAGAGGCACTATGCTGGCTTGCCGCACAGAACTCTGGGTAGGAGAGTGATGCATTGCGTGACCGTGTCACAACTGGTTGGGTCTATTATTGTGAAGGGGTGCACCTTTGTCAGTTGATTGTTAACATGTCCGAACAGCCGAGACAAGGTCGCTGTTTGACATCTCAGTGTCGAGAAATCGTCAGCAATGTCCTAACTTTCATGTGGTTTAATGGGTCCGATTTTAGGTAGCGAGCAGCAACATTAATAACATTCTCTGCTCCCCTTTTTAATGAAGTTAACTCTACCTGCCGTTTGTGCCATTTGACCTCCAGGGTCATGCTTATGTAGAGTAGCTCAGGTCAAGCGGAATAAGCTGTACATATGGTTTTGGTTTTAGATTGAGGAATATGGGCTTGTCTGTCATTTAGGACACCGGGTACCTTTCTGTATTTTCACTTTGTTCAGGGTACATTTCTGTATACAGAAACATACCTGGGGTACATATCTGTAGTACCTGTGTCGATAACGACCCCTTCAGTGTTACAAGTTCAGGTTTTTTATGTACCTTTTTAGAAGCAGTGGTTTTGAGGGAACGTAGTTTTTATCAGAACAGAACATGTTAATGTTATGTATTTGTTAGATATTACCTTTACTGTTATATATATCAGCGTTGTGTTCTGTTTCACCTGGTTACCATGGTAACTGATGTGTCTATATAACATATGTCATGGTTCGAGTTCTTGCTCATAAAGTAATACATTTACATATTGATATAGGTGTTTTAAACTATTTAGATCCAATTTATGAATTAATCGATAATTGATTTCTCTTTTAAGTTTTTGTATAGAAATTGATTCTGTAGAAAATTGGAACAGGAAACAAATTTAAAGCTCTTATTCAGTCAGATTAGATGTTATGTTTAGTCATTTTTGTAGGTGGTCATGTCTTAGAAAATGACATTTTACTGAATAAGTCATGGATTAGCTCCCAAACTGTTCAAACTGTAAATTGTTTGATTGTTCGTTGATTTTTCTAGAAAGGAGCTGATTTGTTTTAAGATAATAAATACTTCATAACCATGGGATCAGCATACTTGTACTTCTCTTTATTGATGTCTGAATCTTGTCATTGTTGATGCAGAATCAAACAGTACAAAGGAAAGCATGTTTATGATTAACAGAATTTTGATGTCTGAGCTGCTCTTTATAGTAGCCTGAATATCTTCATATGCTTTAAAATGTCCCATTAAGATGGGTATGAATGATAATATTTCATTAAAACTCAGTGGGGGTGCCAAATTTTGTGAGTCAAAATCCCACTTTAAAACTTATAAAAATCACTACAAAACAAGTATTTTTCAAACATTCATCTCCGCAACCATTTCATTAGGACAAATATAACTTATTAAAAACAATTTTGAAGCCAGCATGACAAGTTCCCACTTTGATCAAAATAATGGTCTGTTGAATCCATCTTTTGGGATAAGGTATGTTTCTTCAGACATATCAGTTTACTTTTTTTTCTTTTTAACTTTTTTGTTGTTTTCTTTGCTCAAACCTACATCATAAAACAACTTTGTGTGTCATTCCAATAATATATATATTACTCAATAGAAGTTAAGGAAAGATTAACTGTAGTAATATGAAAGAATCAGGTGGTTTTTAATGTTTTTTTATAGTATACATACCAGTTGTGATGCTTTAATTTTATTATTAAACATTGACATATACTCACTTATTTAAATTAAATTGCTTTTAAATTAAATAATTTATGTATGGGTTGTGTTCATTTCTCATCTGTCGTCATTATTCTCTATCATTTTGGATGTAGGTTGGAGATACATGGTTAAGAGGAATATTAAAACTATGGTTAAAATTGTTGACTTTTGTTTTGTGTTGTCTTTAACCTATATTTCGAGAAACTTTTGTATTCATGAAAAACATAGGAAGTATTAGGGTTGAGTCTCACTACATGTAATGATTTTACCTTGAAGCAGTGGCAAGCCTTGTTTGGATTATTATGGTTTAAGTCATATTTTACTGTGACGTCTCCAGCATTAACATGTTTCTCTGTATTCAGAATATTGCTTTTTGTCTTGTTTTCATTTTTCTTGTTTCATGTCAGTCTAGTTATTGTTCAGATTTGTCTCAGTGTGATTATATGTTAACCAGAAGAGGTAAGGTAGTAGTTTCTGGATTAACAGGGGCCACTGTACATCTTTAAGATACTATTGTCTTGATTAAGCATATGAAATGTTTATCTTAAAGATGGAATCATGGAATAAGAGTCACTGTACATCTTTAAGATACTATTGTCTTGATTAAGTGTATGAAATGTTTATCTTAAAGATGGAATCATGGAATAAGACTCATTGTACATTTTCAAGGTAATTTTGTCTGGATTAAGTGTTTAACTTAAAGATGGAATCCCAGGAATAAGAGTCACTGTACATTTTCAAGGTAATTTTGGGTGGATTAATAGTGTGAAATGTTTATCTTAAAGATGGAATCATGGAATAAGAGTCATTGTACATCTTCAAGGTAATTTTGTCTGGATTAAGTGTTTATCTTAAAGATGGAATCCCATGGAATAAGAGTCACTGTACATTTTCAAGGTAATTTTGGGTGGATTAATAGTGTGAAATGTTTATCTTAAAGATGGAATCATGGAATAAGAGTCATTGTACATCTTCAAGGTAATTTTGTCTGAATTAAGTGTTTATCTTAAAGATGGAATCATATGGAATAAGAGTCACTGTACATTTTCAAGGTAATTTTGGCTGGATTAATAGTGTGAAATGTTTATCTTAAAGATGGAATCATATGGAATAAGAGTCATTGTACATCTTCAAGGTAATTTTGTCTGGATTAAGTGTTTATCTTAAAGATTCATAAGATGGAATCATTTTCAAGGTATGGATTAAGAGTGAAATGTTTATCTTTCAGATAGAATCATATGGAATAAGAGTCATTGTACATCTTCAAGGTAATTTTGGCTGGATTAATAGTGTGAAATGTTTATCTTTCAGATAGAATCATATGGAATAAGAGTCATTGTTCATTTTCCAGGTACTTTTTGTCTGGATTAAGAGTGAAATGTTTATCTTCAAGATGGAATAAGAGTCACTGTACGTCTTCAAGGTACTTTTGTCTGGATTAATAGTGTGAAATGTTTATCTTAAAGATGGAATCATATGAAATAAGAGTCACTGTACGTCTTCCAAGGTACTTTTGTCTGGATTAATTGTTTATCTTAAAGATCAACAGAGTTATTGTACATCTTGAGATAGCACTGTGTAACCATAATCTCCATACATCTCTATGGTGTTATCCGGATTGACAGGGTTTGATTTACATGTAAGATTTATTGAGTTGTTCATTTATTGTTTCCTTCTTGTATTCCCTTGTAAAGGGACCATGATGGACTATAGTTACACTGAGTGTTAGAAATTAACATCAAAGTTTAAGTGGGATTCCTCTATCCATTTAATAATTTGTGTGGTTTTCTAAAAAGAGTTATAAATCTATCAACTGATTTCCTGTTCATTAAGCCTTATTCAATTCCACACATGGGTACGTTGTGTGAAGCACATTTCTGGTGTTCCCCGCTGTGATATTGCTGGAATATTGCCCGCTGTGATATTGCTGGAATATTGCTAAAAGTGGTGTAAAACCCAACTCCTCACTCACTCACCATTAAGCCTTATGGTTGAGGTGTTAGTTTGTCATGCCGAAATCCTTTGCTCCATTCCTGTCATGGTTACAGTATATGAAACTGGGTCCTGCTGGTTGTCATAGAAACCTGGATGCAGTTATGGTATGGGGATGATCATTTGATACTTGAGTGGAAGTGGATAATGTGTTCCTTTTAGGCATTCAGTAAAATTATTGATGATTCCTTGAATGTTTAATAATTGGTGATTAGTTCTCGCTAACAACTTGTTTGAGTGTGTACATTTGCTAATAATTTCACCAAAAACTTCAAAATCTTTCAAATAACAATTAAATAGTAATTTTAATAATAGTGAAAATGGTGATAACTGGTCAGAATATAGTACAGCTTTTACTTCTTAATTGAAATCCAAATGAAAATATTTTGCTCTGTTATATATATGCCTTTCTGAACATTTTATACTTTGTTAAAATGTGAGGGCATAGGGTCATCAGGTTTAGGTTCATGATGCATTACGGGCTGTGGGGTAGCCTAGTGGTTAAAGCGTTGGCTTGTCACGCCGAAGACCCGGGTTCGATTACCTACATGGGCAATGTGTGAAGCCCATTTCTGGTGTCCCCCGACGTTATGTTGCTGGAATATTGCTAACAGCGGCGTAAAACCATACACACTCACTCACTCATGATGCATTAACAAATCAAGACACGTGTAATGGTTATTGTAAACATCCAAATAGTCCCCACAATTACAAAACATATTACACTTTTGAAATGAAACTTATGGCATTATTTTTTCCCAGTTCTAATCTTTTTGGTTGAAAAAAATGAAACAGGTATATTAATGTTTGATTATTTTGTATCTTGATTTTTTCTCTCACATTGTTATCTCCCCTGTATCCATGACAAAATGGTGGCTGGTGACCATGTTGAGCAGCATGAAGAAAATAGGATCTGCATGTCATATCAGTGTCTGTTCAACACTTTTTCTTACAATGAATTTCAATAAGTATTGAAATACAGATAGCTGTATCACAATATAATGCAAAATAATTTGTTCTTACAGAGCTCTAAATTAATCAGGCAGACCGCGACACATCTTGAAACAGAAGCTGAGCAAGATGTTGATCCATTCTAGAAGAGTGAAACAAACTAATGATAGACATTTTGTAGACATCAGATTTGATTTTATAACAATTGTGTTTTATTCACAGAATTGGCTGCTTGTGAGCTGAACAGTGTCATCTGAAACTGTTACAAATATTGTCCAATTATATGTAGACAGAATGTGATTTCAATGCCTGTAACTAACGAGTCACTTGTTTATGTTTTGTTTGTTCAACTGAACAACGATGTTCCCATGATAATAAAAGACATCTTGTTAAACAGTATCTTTGTTTTTACTCCAAAAAGTATCCATGGAAATATGAATGCAAGAGTGTGCTGTGATTTGATTGTAGGCAAAATGTTACTAGGGTCTTGGAATATTCACTGTGTGAATATTTTGTTGACAAGTAGTTGTTCTTTTTCTGTGACTGTCATAGAACTGAAATACTTTTCAGGTGTATTGGCAAGAGATATTAGTGAAGATGCTTTGTTCACCAAGGTGTCAGCGTGGATGGCTTTGTCAAGCTGCATTACTTCAGGCTTCCATCTGTCATAAAGTTTATACTGTGATATAACTGCAATGTTTTTGTTGACAAGTATCTTTTCTTTTTCTGTGATGCTGTCATAAAACTGAAATGCTGTTCAAGGTTCATTAGGGACCGTTCATAATTTATGGCTGTGTGTGTGTGGGTGATGATGATTTTTATGGAGAAGCATATACAATACGATTGATCCCCCCAAAATTTATGTACAAAGTAAGTGACCCCCCTCCTGCATGTCATGTACAATATCAATGTCCTCCCCTCCCTTCCCATAATTTCTAAGCATAATTTTAACATATTTGTATTATGTACAAACTTGTTGACCTCCTCTAGAACGTGTGTACAAAATTGATGACCTCCTTAGCTCCCCAGAACAAAATGGGTGACTCTCCCCTCCTAAAATGATGATGATGATGATGATGATCATCATCATCATAATTTCCTTTCCCCTTTCTTGTCTCCTTCCTCTCCCCACCCCCACCCCCAAATTATGAATGGTCCCTTATCAAGAGACGTTAGTAAAGATGCTTTGTTCACCAAGGAATCAGTGTGGTTGGCTTCTTCAAGCTGCTTCAGGCTGTCATCCTCCATTAAGTTGACACTGTGATATAACAGCAATACTGTTAACTACATGCTTTACTTTTAAAGAAACAGGAGTCATGGGTATCCCAGCATTTTGTGGCTCCAGACTGTAGCCTGCAGAGTTGCCTCCCTTTGTATCTGGGCTTGAATCCAAGATTTGCTGATTATTATCCTATATCACAACTCTATGGTTTGACCTGGGAGGTAAAATGGTGGAGAACTGCAGCTCTTTGTTCGTCTCATCCTCCATGAGCAGATTTAACACGTTGACTGCCAATCACGAGTATACTCGTGGTATCAATTCTGTTCAAATTTTGCCACGAGGAGTTATCTCGTAGCTAGATCAGTGGTATTTTATGACAAGTTTCACATGTTGGCAAAATAGACACAAAGTTCTATGTTACCTCCAGGAAACGATTCCTTCTGGTGCCTGTTTTGCCAACATGTGAAACTTGTTTTAAAATATCACTACTATAGCTACGAGATAACTCTTGTGGCAAACTCGGCCAGAAAATGATACTACGTCTTATTAATTTATTTTCTGTTACACTGAATTAGCATCACTTCAGCATCATGGTATCAGCCTCAAATGGTCTGGGCCAGACAATCCAATGATTGATACAGTGGGCAATGATCCATTCCGCCTGGGTTTAACAGCACACTATAAAGTCCACCTCGTCCATTTAGTTGCTTGTTCTGACTAGTAGAGGAGTTCTAATATAACCAGGAATTGACCATGTTGACCACTGCAGTTAGGTAAACCCTGGGACCACCTCCATGGTGTAGTGGATAGGGTGTCTGCCCAAAGAGCATATGGTTGGTTGTTTGATCACTGTGTCACACCAAAAGACGTTTCAATTTTTTATATGCAGACAGTGTTGTCAATTGCATATATGGGGGGCGCGGTGGGCGAACTGGCTAAAGCGCCAGGCTAGTGATCCAGCGAGCTTGAGGTGACGGGATCGAGCCCACCTGTGACCGGGTGTAAAAATCTTGGAGTCAACTTCGTGTGCAGACTCTTTCAGTGTTGTCACAACCCCTAGTGTACAGTTCACAACCCTGTGCACTTAAAAGAACCCACGAATCCGTTTATATATGACCAGATGGTGGCCACATGAATACTTGCAAACACCCAGTTGCGGGTACAGCAACGTGCAGTGAACTTGGACAAAGTACTGTGACTATGTGTCCCAGTCCACCCAGCTGTGAATGGGTACCTCGTAAGGATGGAATGCCACAATAACTCGGTGCGCCTAGTGGCTGCAAGAGTTGTATGCTCCCCAGGGAGTTGAGATTGACAATACGATGTGCCGTTGAGATTGACATCCAGTGAACGAGGGAAAAACAAAGCGCCTTTGAGCAGCTGAGCTGAGCTGGATATCGGCGCTATACAAATGTTAGTATGTATGTATGTATGTATATCCCACAGAAATCATGTTGTTTCTTAAATGAGCATTTTATCGATGTTGAAGTATTTTTTTACTGTGAGTTATATTTCATGAAAAAATGAACAGTGTTTCCCTATGTCTCCAGAGCATGAATTTGGCATGTCATTATATTGGAGCCCCTAGCACAAACATACACATCCTAATCCGCCCTCTATTTTCCTAGGAAGGTTAGATTAAATTCTGCTTTGGAGCATACTTATCTAAAAGTTTCATACTCTAAATTGAGTGAGTGAGTGAGTATGGTTTTACCCTGCTTTTACAAATATTCCAGCAATATCACGGCAGGGTACACCAGAAATGGGCATTTGTATCCATATAGGGACCGTCTCCGTGGTGTAGTGGTTAGAGCCCGACCGCATCATACCAAAAGACGTTAAAATATGGTACTTGTTGGTCCCTGCCTGGCGCTCGACATTAATGGGTACAACAAGGACTGGTTGGTTCGGAGTCAGTATAATGTGTCTGAGTGGGGTATTCATGCTTCACTGCGGCATGGTACCTCAGTGGGCTAGCACTATAAAACCAGCTAAAGTCTGGGCTAGTACAAGCAGCCGCATATACACATACACATGCATGCACGTCGTCATATGAGCGAAATATTCTCAAGCACGACGTAAAACCCAATTTCACCTCACCTCACCTCACCTCACCTCATAACCAGTCAATCCAGTCCTGAATTGTTTGCATCACCCAGCAATATTCCAGCTATATGGCAGCAGTCTGTAAATAATTGAGTCTGGACCAGACAATCCAGTGATCAACGGCATATCTTTTGACTTTTGTGCACATGAATACAGTTCTTTGTGAGTTTTTTTCCCCCTCAATCCAAACAATTAAAAGAAAAATAGTGGATACTACAATGATATGACATCAACTCTGATCAGTATTTATGAGGAGAGCCATGATTTATTGTCCTCATTCGACTAAACAGGAGGGCTCACTTATCACACAAGTACATGATGCCAAAAAACACACCCCAGGGTTGAAATACACAAAACGCCAACAAATCTGAAAGGTTTTGGTGTGTTGTTTTATGCTGCACTCAGCTATATTCCAGCTATAAGGAGGCGGTATGTAAATAATCGAGTCTGGATCAGACAATCCAGTGATCAACAGCATGAGCATCGATCTATGCAACTGGGATATGATGACACGTGTCAACCAAGTCAGCGAGTCTGACCACCCGATCCCGTTAGTCGCGTCTTATGACAAGCATGAGTTACTGAAGACCAACTCCAACCCGAATCTTCACGGGTAAAATCTGAAAGGACGCAAATCCCCAAATTCAGTATGTTAAAGAATAAATGAACAACATAAGACCAGTGTGATTTTAAGACATGTTTACTGAGGTCTTGTCACTGGGTACAGAATGCATGTAAAAAGGGAGACAACTCTGTATCTGACGAGTAGCAGCCATCTTTGTGGTATGTACATACACATCTCATCCATTTGGAATGTGTCGTATTTATGAAAATGTGGAATGGTGTTGATGTTTTACATTGAAGATAACAAAAAGTTGCTGTATTTTTATATCCCTCTGCTAACAGCACAAAAAGCAGTAGAAAAATGTACCTTCATAAAACAAACTTGTGAAGATATTAGACTCGGTTTAAACAATGAAAAAAATATATGGAAACAACCATTTACAAAACTATCCGACTAAACAAGCAGAGGTGTAAAAAGATCTTACTTGAAGGACTACTTGCCATTTACATGAGAAGATCTTATGAACATGAAAAATGTTTGAAATATTTTCTCTTTACTCTGATTGTGTTTTCAAATAAATATTTACCTCTGGTATGATAATATTTTTCATCTTTTTGAAGAAATTTGTTGAAACATAATCATTCTCAATTAATGCCTCTTAGCAAAATCCAAGGACAACATAATTTCAGGACTTGGTCAATACAAAATGTCAGAAAATCGTCTCATTAAAAAAATTAAAGGTGCAATTTATTCAGTATCTCGGACTTTTCAATTTGAAATATGTACACAAATTTCAAATACAAACGCTCCCAATAGTGGTGAAGGAATACATCATGTATAAGACTGAGTATTGAAGAAAGCATGAGATACAAGTTGCCGAATGCACATTGTATTTCTAGGTCGGTTGATTAATGATGTATTTACAGAGCCATCACTGACGAGACATAACTTTGGAATATACTACTAAACATTTGATAAAGATACTGGATATCTCAAACCATAATGAAACTCAGAGGATATCAATTACACAAATGGTGCTGATGTTATTTAACCAACAATCATTTGTATCTGCTAAAATGATGCTGACTTGTCAGTTCTAAATGATACTTGTGTGACAACACCTTCAAGCAAATCTTGACCAAGGCACGTTTACATGTGACCAATGAAAATATCCTTATCAAAGGTTGTGTAGTATATATCTGTGTATAAGTCACTGGTGGTAAATAATACAAAATTATTTCCAATTTCCACATAGGTATGATTAATGCAATGATGATTTGTAATCTCTCAAAATACCCCTAAAAATACATGTCATTTATATACACCTGTTTATTGAAAACAACTAATTTTGTGAATAGAATTATTCTTCTGTTGTGCTATATAACACTTATCAACCATCTTGTTCCCGGAATCACAGTAGCATTGTTGTAGCTTCATTCAATTTCAACACATTTGTACCAACAGTCAATTTCCAACCATAATTTAGAGTTTTGAGTCTTTACAATAGATAAAGACAACACAGAGGACCAGGTTATAACAAATGAAACAAAACACTGCTCAACATCAATTTGTTCTTGTCAATACTCCTCTAGCTGGTTCCCGTAAAATACATAATCTCAACAAAGTCAAAACATCATAATAAAGAGTATTAGTACCTACAATGTTGCAATAAACAAAATATGTTTATCTCTGTTTTGGAGTATATGTTGAGGCTAATTTTGTATATACTGAACAAAAAAAGTTAGGGATCATGAGTGAGTGAGTTGGGTTTTACGCCGCTTTTAGCAAATATATAAAATATTCCAGCAATATCATGGCGGGGGACACCAGAAATGGGCATCACACAATGTGCCCATGTGGGAAATCGAACCCTGTCTTCAGCGTGACAGGCCAACTCTTTAACCACTTGACTACCCCACCATCCTAGGGATCATGAATATTTTTCTTGATATTATTTTGTACAACTCGTCACACTGTTCCATAAAAATACCCAAAAAGTATTTATGATCACTTACTTTTTTTGTTGAGTATATGAACAAATTCGGGGTCTTAATCTCAAGATTATTGCAGTCAATATTTACGACAGACTGTCCCCAAAATAGTTCTTGGCAGATGCTTGCCGAGCAATGGATATGGATTTTTGTAAAGAAATGCAATGCTAGCCATTATCTTTTGTATACGTCATCAATACCGTTAATTTCCAATGTTCATGAGATTCAGATTGACCTTCATCTTGCTATGTCATAAATGAATATATACAACACAATATTCCTAATGAGGGACTACAGTGTACTAACATAACACCAGGGATACGATGCCATTTGGTTAGATATAATATGGCTATTTACAATTTGAAATTAACAAATCAGATGATTAACAATCATTATTTCAATAGATAGGATTCCATAATTTGAAATACAAAAATATTTTCAGAATTTGCATTACAATTTGATATAGTAGTATGTTGGAATGAAGTCTTAAAAACAATGTAATTAATTAGGAAAAATTCATGAAAATGGAATGTAAAGACAACTGTCTTCATAATGTACCATAATTTAATTTAATAGAATTTATTCAACTCATAATTAGATAAGCTTATGGTAATAATACACAAGTGGTCAATTTAAAAAAAATTATACAAATAGTATCTTCCAGACAACTATCAGCAACATTTGATTGGTTTTAAACATATCTTTTCAGATGTTTTATTCCAAATTTTGGCAGGCTTATTGTAATTTTCTTAACATATTGTCAATGAGAATATCAAAGTGAGTGGAATACCTTATTCCTAACAACATCCTATTATCCCCAACCTTGCTATGATGCAATAAGAAAATATGAATTGCACACATTTTGGCATATACTGAAAATTTACACACATAAACATAAAATTACTTTATGCAGTTTATACATACATAATGAATATGACAGCATCTTGGGTGTTATGTCCAAATCTTCATACTTACAAGTAGGACACATACTAAAAATATCCTAAAAATTTCGTGGACAATGATTATATGAAAAAAAATCATGCAATTGATATCAGTAGAAACAAGCATAATGAATAACATCCTATTTACAAAAGTGATAATTTGCTATGAAGAAATTATTTTCCGATAATTGTAAAAATACTTTGAAGCAGTCTTAATGGAATGATATGGTTGTGTTTGGTTTCTAGCCAAAAACATATGTTAAGAATTACTACATCACATCCATAGTCACCCAAGACTACATCTAATATTTGGCGATAGAAGCAGTTACCTTGTGATGATCTAGACAACAACATTGAAAGATTTATACAAAAAAAGAGATCACAAATATTGCTATTCAAAACATAACAAAAAACAAACAAATTCAACATTCACATGACTATGACTCCTGGGAAAAAAATATTCAAATGTTTTAAATACTCACCAATAACATATCCTACATATACAGTTTGTGATGTATAGATAGTATTAGCACATGATGTAATGAAACTAGTAGCACATTGTTGCACAAAAATTACTACATATTTTTGTACAAAGAGCTGCAATATACATTGTTGTACAAAATCTCTAACAATGATCTGTTGACATGAAAGTTATAAGCTACTTGGACATAAGAGTAATGAATAGCTAGTATATGTATGCTGTAATATACAAAATAACAGATTTTACTGCCTCAAGAAAACTCACAAATTGTGAATTACAAGGTTTCACGGTCTCAGGGTCTTCCGTGTGGCGAGCTGATGCTTTAACCACTAGGCTACTCCACCGCCCCTTTCATTGTCTGAAAAGGATTCCATTTTGAAATTATCTTGATAAATGGTTTGAATTGTTCTAGTATTTGGGTGCTTGCTCCGCGTGTGGGTTATACCGCACTAAGTGCGATAACATATTATATGAATACACACATTAAAGTAATCCAAAGCCTTTCAAAAAGTGTAAACAACGACGTTGAATATAAGGTCCGAGCTGTATAAACAGCCATTTAAACACTCCCTGAAAACTGGCACCGGCTCCACGTCTGAGTCTGGCTCCATGTCTCAACACTGTATCCATGTTACCAAGTATGATCCGCTTCATCTTGGAGCCATGTTTTAATAACGTATGTACACTTCCAGTTGGATCTAATGCCAGGACATGTAACAATGCCAGATCTATGTCTTTGTAACGGATCCATGGTTCAATAGCGGATCCATGGTTCAATAACGGATCCATAAGTGGATCCAAGTCCTAGCAAGATGAACCCTGAGTGTCCTGGACAGTGTTATCCAGTTGTGTTCAGAACACTGTCGACAGTGTTGCTGTTCTGTGCAAAACACATTATATATCATCTCTAACTCTCAGCATTATCAGCACATAGCTGTCTCTTGAAGGTTAGGTTGTACTCATACACATCGGGGTTGTTTGAAGTCAAAGAACAGATGTTTAGATTATTCTGAAAATAAAGAATTTAAAATGAGGTGAGGTGAAATTGGATTTAACGTTGTGCTTGAGAATATTTCGCTCATATGACGACATGCATGTGTGTGTATGTGTATGTGCGGCTGCTTGTACTAGCCCAGACTTAAGCTGGTTTTATAGTGCTAGCCCACTGAGATACCATGCCGCAGTGAAGCATGAATACCCCACTCAGACACATTATACTGACTCATAGCTGACCAGTCCTTGTTGTACCCATTAATGCCGAGCGCAGGCAGGGACCAACAAGTACCATATTTTAACGTCCTTTGGTATGACGTGGTCGGGGATCGAACCCGCGACCTTCCGCTCTCCGGGCGGGCGCTCTAACCACTACACCACGGAGGCGTTCAATTTAAAATGAATACAGATGTATACTACCCATCAAAAGTTTAGACTCACTAGTGTAAATGTAGCTACTTACTTCAGGCAACTGTTCTAAACTACATTTGATAATATACAGAAACACCATCAATAGACTCAAGGTGTGTTTGACTACTAGTTGGTTGTTACACAGGTGGAGGAACCCATTTTTATAGCCATTTTATACAAATCAGTCTTGTTTTCAATTTCAGTAAATCAATAATTAATATCAACCATCTCTACTATCTCTGGGTGAGTGTAAATTTCAGAAGTAATTTCTGAATGAGACATGAATTCATGGAAAATATAATAGTTTTCAACTCAACACAAACATATACTAATAACTGAACATTCTATGAAGGTCAAATTGAGCAGCTACTTACATCGGGGCTGATCTTGAACTTGTAGGTGCTGGTGTAATGGATACCAATGGTCAGATTAAACTCAGCATTTGTGCTCTGAAATACAAAAATGGAAGATGAAGGACTGACTGACTACGCCGCTTTTAGCAATATTCCAGCAACATCACTGCGGGGGACACCAGAAATTGGCTTCACACATTGTACCCATGTGGGGATTCAAACCCGTGTCTTCGGCGTGACGAGCCAGCGCTTTAACCACTAGGCTACCCCACCGTCCCCTGAAGATGAAGGAAGGTTATCTCCCTTGGGTTGTTTCAAGAAGCATTATTCATTAAACATTCTTTTCAAAACAATTTCTCTATGAAGATTACTAAACACTAGTGACTGTCATATTTGTAAATGTCAACATGTAATGTGTAATGTTCTAGGTTCCCATAACGGAATCTGGGTTTGAATTGGTCCCCAGGAACCAAACGGATCAGGCAGGCTCTGTGATTTAGTTGATTGTGTCCATGGACTGATGCTCACAATATCGACCACTGGATTGTTGGTCCAGATTGTACAGGCCACTGTTACATAACTGGAGAAAGGAACCAACCAAACAACCAACCCAACCTACCAGCCCAGCCCAGCCCAAACCAACTCCAAACCCAAACCAACTCCAAACCCAACCCAACCAACCAACCTTCCAACCAACAAAGAAACAAACAAACCATACCGTTAATTTGTATCCCTTTTCCGAGACATTACCGGCACTGGCTTCGAGACAAGAGGGAGTGAAGGAGTCATTGCAGAAGGCCACCAGGACAGCTCGATCAGTCCTGAATAAATAGAAACGCAGTGTGGAATATTTCAATGATGCTTTAACCAATTATGCCCTGGACTTTTCAATACAGTGATGTTTTCTAATAAATATCTTTATTTCTTTTTCACCAAAATAATAGGTGTGATGTTATCTGGTGAAAAGGATAGCACATTCATTATATGTTAAGTTTGATAAATTAGAGGAACTTTGTAGTTCGCTGGTGAAAATTATTAACCTTTGTATTTTACATTTCTACTTAAAATTATGTGTTTCAAATATACAATAATATGTTTCTGTTGTTTCTCAAACTTACTTGAATTGAATGGTGACGGGCATTGAACCAAAGTAGTGGCTGACTTTGGCCAGATAGGAATTATTGCGACCTTCACATGCCCCAGCCACCATGCAGTACTCGGGGCCAATCGTGAAGTTGAGCTGCTTGATAACAATCTGGGGTCGCAGTAGGTCTTCTGGCACTGAAGATAGAGAAAACAAACACTGAATGTTTGGTACTTCCACCAAGATCTGTACCTGAGGAGGCTCCACTAGGTCCTGCTCTTATCGACACCTACCTCAGTGGCTCTTGTCAACACCTACCTTAATGACTCTAATTGACACCTACCTCAGTGGCTCTAATCGACACTTACATCAGTGGCTCTAATTGACACCTACCTCAGTAGCTCTTATCAACACCTACCTCAGTGGCTCTTATCAACACCTACCTCAGTGGCTCTTATCAACACCTACCTCAGTGGCTCTAATCGGAAACTACCTCAGTGGTTCTTATCAACACCTACCTCAGTGGCTCTAATCTACACCTACCTCAGTGGCTCTAATCGACACCTTACATTGTGAGCATGGGTTCATGCCGCTTTTAGCAATATTTCAGCAATATCATGGAAGGGAACACCAGATTTGTGCTTCACACAACGTGCCCTTGTGGGAAATCAAACCTGAGTCTTCAGTGTGGCAAGAAACTACTTAACAAGTGGGCTACCCCCCACTAAAGTTACATTAGAAACAACATATCAGACATAAATTATACAATTGATATAAAACCAGAAAACGGAAATGAAAATTTCACTCGATTTTCTGCATGTCATGCGTGTGGACCATACAGAAAAATTATGAAGGGTTCTAGGAGAACAATACAGTGACGTCAGGATCAAGGGAGATAACTCAGGGGTAGATTAGGTATACCACTAGGAATAGCTATGACTTAGTGTTAATATTTCTTATGATTTCTGTATGTATTCTGTGTATATACCATAATCCAGAGGGAATGTTTACGTTATAATTGATATAAAACCAGAAAACGGAGATTAATAACAAACATGATCAACATCATTACAAAAGGGGCAACATTACAAAAGTGCTGAAGTGTGAGTATCATCATCTGATTGTTCATAGAAACAAATATGTAATTAATGAATTAAAGACTTCAAGACTTCATACCAACGAAACCTTTAAGTGAGTTTTCAACAGTATTTTGAAGTGAGAGTTAAACAAGAAGCAACTGGATCCTAATAAATCTAAGGGAAGTAACCCAACTTACCAGTACTTCTTTTCTTCCTGTAGTAGTGATGGATGTTGTTGTCGTCATTGTTGATGACGTTGTAACCATCGTTGTTGATGACGATAGGGGTGTTTTGCGATTCATTGGGAATGTCGATTGTGAAAGTGTTGTAGTGCGGAGTGGTCTTCTGAGTCTGAAAAACAGGTAAAAATATTATTAGTGGATATGGGTGTGGTGAGGACAGGTGACGTGAGGTGAGGTGTGGTGAGGGAGTTAGATTTTATGCTGCTTTTAGCAATATTCCAGCAATATCATGGCGGGTGTCACCAGAAATGGGCTTTACACACTGTACCAGAGATGCCAACCCTATTTTGGGCCTAAGTGTAATACTGGAGGTCAAAAAGTGTAATTTGGACCTAAAAAGTGTAATACTTAAAAAAAAAATACTTAGTGAAAGGTGATAACTTTATAAAATTATCTGTAAGAAGGTTTATTCACATGAATAGGAAATATTCTAGACAGAAATACACGTGACCAATCATTATGAAGCTCTATACATCGAAAATTGTTGGTCATGTGACACAAAATACTTTAATTCCTTAAAAGTTAATTGAAATGAGTGCGATGCTAAGAGTAAGACCATTTTTGAACCCTGTACGGTGCGTTACTAAACACTTCTCTGTGAAAATTTTCCCACTTTATTGATTTTCTTAAAACGAGTAGAAAAGCGTAATGGCGTAATTTAATGGTAAAAATCGTAATAATTACGCCCAAAGCGTAAGGGTTGGCATCTCTGAGACTGTACCCATGTGTGAAATCGAACCTGGCCTGCAATGTGATGAGCGATGTTGAGCACTAGGCTACCCCACCGTCCCGAGGTGAGGTAAGATGAGGTGAGGTAAGGTGAGGTGAGGTGAGGTGAGAAAGTTCTCATCCCTGAGAATGCCAGTTATATTGTGCTAATCTATCGATATACCATGCCGCAGTTAAACACCAAACTAAACAACTGTGTCGTGAACCTTCACTGACCAGTCCCTTACACCCACAATGCTGATTGCTAGATCGCTAGTGTTAGATCTCTACCCTTAAACACCTTCCCTCTCTCACTCGTTGTTGTCATGCTCGACATGACTTGACAATGATACAAGAACCTGTGTCGAAATGTCACACCACCTGATTAAAGAAGCTGTTCATCCATATAGATTGTCTTTAATTATCTAACAAGCAAAACACTGTAACTATAAGGCTACCCTGACACCCTCCCCTACCTCCCTCACTCACTCACTCATATGTGTGCACCCACAATGCAGATTGCCAGGCAGGGTTACAACAACCCAGATAGCATTCGGACGTTGGCCCAACGTTGGCAATGTTGGCAAAACCATTGCTAACGTTGGGCCAACGTCTGAATGCTATCTGGGAAGCAAACATTGTAACTACAAGGCTACCGTAACACCCCTCCTCCTCTCCCTTCCCCAGGGAGCACATGTTTCAGCTGGAAAGGCATCCAATTAAAGCCTCAAAAGTGAGGTGTTACTTACCACAACATTGGACAGTGGAACAGGATCTGAAATGAGAGAGAAACACATATTAACGTTTTCGATAACTGAAACTGAAACACCGGTAAACCTGTTTAGTTGAGTGTGACAGATTGGATTTGATATATGCTGTGGAGTGTATACTGTTTTATGCCGCAGTCAGCAAGATTCCAACAAATGTCACTGCTGCCTGAAAACACACCATTCCTGACCAGGCAAACCACTGGTTGAAAGTATGAGCAACGACTGATCAGTGAATGAGTGAGTGTATATATATTCCAGCAATATCTGAGAGTGGAACACTTGAAATGCACCTCACACATAGTTGGAATGTGGGGAATTAAAACCAGGTCTTTGGGTGATGACTGAACCCTTTAACCACTTGGCTACCCGACGCCACTGGAGCAGAGGGGCATATCATGAGGAGAGTCACAATTCTCTGTAGATTAGTGACGACGTCTATTGCCCTGTAATCCAGACACAGCTGTGGAGATTGTGTCTCCTTCGTTTGTTGTTAGCACTGCACTCAGCAATATACCAGCAGTCTGTAACTGACTGACTGACTGAGTTTGGTTTTACGCTGCTTTTAGCAATATTCCAGCAACATCATGGCGGGGGAATGGCTTCACACATTGTGCCCATGTGGGGATTCGAACCCGGGTCTTCGTTGTGATGAGCCAACGCTTTAACCATTAGGCTACCCCACCGCCCCGCAGTCTGTAAATAATCGAGTCTGGACCAGACAATCCAGTGATCAACACCATGAGCATCAATCTACACAGTTACGATACCATGACATGTTTTAACAAAGTGAGCAAAGCTGACCACCCGATCCCGTTAGTCGCCTCTTACGACAAGTATCGGTGGCTGAATTCTAAACAGGATCTTCACGGGTTTATGGAGATTGTGATAGAATCTTCTATGTATACCAGTCATCAGCATCCAAACTTTATCAAGGTATCACATAATCACATACTGGCAAACCAGTGGTTGACGATATAAACAAATAAACACTCATGGGGTATGATGACATAATGTACACATGTACATCCTCAATTTTGTTGTCTCAAAAACATGCTGGAACTATGGGCTCATTCTAGCCCAGAATGGGATGGAGGTAGATTAACGTTTAGAATCTGAATATATATAATTTTGATAGTAACAAACAAGCCCATTTAAATTGAAAAAGACCCCCAGGGAGACCAGAGATTCATTTGTGCAGTTTTGTTGAGAATCTATGCTCATGTGTTGTTTATCAACACCATAAATGCCCATGGGCTTCTTTGAAGGTGGTAAATGTCTTAAACTGGGCTTATGCTTAATCTCTGAATATATAATTTTGATAGTAACAAATAATCCATTTAAATTGAAAAGGAGCCCCAGGGAGATGGGAACCTGAGGAAATCTAGACTTGCTTCATTTGGGGCTCTAGCACTGCTGGGAGGGCTTGGCAGTAGGGAAAATAATGTGGTTCAGGGACTGCGAGACAGACTAGGATGGAGGGTCTATCCTGAGACCTACTTTTGTGTTGATGTGGGTTTGGCTCATCCTCTTGGGGTGGTGAACAGCAGCGAGGCTCACACTCAGGAGATTCACAAACAGGGTAGGCTGGTATTGTCCTCGTCGTCACAGGATGGGTAGCTGTTCACAAATAAAAATAATAATAATAATGGTATTGACATTAATGAAACCTGACCCACTGCAGCATGTTCACATTTTTACCTCAATCAAGTGATCAGATTGAACTTTAATTTTATTCTCATCTCAATATAAGACGTTGGCCCGTGAGATGATACATTACCAGCTTTTCCTACTGGGTACCCATTTACTGCTGAGTGAACTTGTATGACTGTAAAATAAATCTTTGTACAGCAATCTCATCCTTTTTTAAATATTTACACAAAAATGAAACTAATGTTCTTTCACTCTCCAGTTTGAGAAAAAAATGCATGAGAAACATTTCAATTTTTGGGGTGGCCTCAGAGACAAGGCGAGTCTAGTACAGGGTGTTAGTTTCAATAACGATGGTTAGATGGCTGTTTTTAGCATTTTGTCAACTGCAACACATGAACAGAAGCAGAATGAAGCTGTGGTCCAAGGGTATTCAAGAAATGGTTTGTGGGTATTCAAGGAATGGTTTGAGGGTTTGAGGGTATTCAAGGAATGGTTTGTGGGTACTCATCACAACGGAATGGAGATGCATGTAAAGCATGAATGTAAACCAGTTGTCCCTTTCGAACATCATGTCAAGTGAAGTTACCTGTAGTCGTGGCAGGCTCTGGTCGGACTTTAGGCGTAGTGCGATCTCGGGGTGGAGCGTGAGTAGTTGATGTCATCACTGGCAGTGCTGTTGTATTTATTCTGCAGAATGAGACAAAAGAATCTGTTTACCACACAACTACTTACAGTCAATGGTAAAGGTGAAGATTTTTATTGTCCAACTATGACCATTGTGTTTACCACACAACTAATTATAGTCAATGGTAAAGGTGAAGATTTTTATTGTCCAACGATGACCAAAATAGAGAATATTGGCAATAATGAAATCGAGGTACAATATTTACAGGAATCTCATCTTGTCACCACAAAAATGTTAATACACCTGAGAATGTTTTGATCTCAGCCCATTATGCTTGACTACAGTGACGCTTTATTTTCTGATTCAAAAAGCATGAGTTGGAAAATAATAAATCAGCACATTTTTTTTATCTTAGATTGATTAGGAAAATCAGAGGACAAATGATATATAAGCTGTACTCACGGTTGTAACGTCGACCCTGATGAAGCAGCAACTACAGGCGTACCCCTTGAGAGTTCCTGGGTATTCCGCCGCTCTAAGATGTACAGTGTGGTTATTGCTACCAGACTGAAGCAGAAAATAAACAAAGATGTAAACAACTCTTTACTTAAACTTTATGCCAAAAGTTTTCATTTATAAATATCTTAAAATGTCCTTTAAGTGAGCCTTAATGTTTTTGAAAAGACTGAGTGAGTGAGGTAGCCATATTCCAGCTATATGGTGGCAGTCTGTAGATAATCGAGTCTGGACCAGACAATCCAGTGATGAACATCATCTGCATCAATCTACGCAATTGCGATACGCTGACATGACATGTGTCAACCAAGTCTGCAAGCCTGACCACCTGATCCCATTAGTCGTTAGGTTACTGAAGATCAATTCTAACACGAATCTTCACAGGTCATCTTAATATGTGCTTTATTGTCCTTAATGTTTTTGAAAAGATTGTGTTCTCACCAGAATGCCATGATGAGGATGAGGATGATGATGGTGATTTGGATGAAACGGTTGCTGCACAGCGACTTCACTCTGCTGGGAGGCGGCACCTGGTGGCGGCTGTGCTTGTGGCCAGACTTGCTGTTGCCATGGTGATATGAGTGTGATTTCTTTGGTGGGGCACTGCTGCTGCAATATTGACATACAATACAGATAAATATTGACATACAATACAGATAAATACTGACATACAATACAGATAAATATTGACATACAATACAGATAAATACTGACATACAATACACATAAATATTGACATACAATACAGATAAATATTGACATACAATCATCTATAGAAGGGTTGTCACATACCACACAGAGATATTGTATCAGAGTAAAAGATTTGATTTTGGTAACACTGCAGTATTCAATAACAGAAGATCCAAGATGTTTCTCTTACCTGACAGTACTAACACTGGATACAGACTTTAGACTCATGTTAGACTTGAGGCTGTCAAATCGTTTCAGTTTGGCAAGCTTCTTGTTCATGACTTCGAGTTCATCAATTCTGTTCTCCAAGTTGTCCGTCAGCTTGCACAGTTCCTTTACAGCTCCAACGTTCTCCATAAACAATCGATCCTGTAATATATCCATGGAACATGTTAATTCAACTCTGTATTAAGTTAGTGGTTTGTACTGAGGACCCTGGTTAGCTCTGTGTCCCAGAAGTAACCAAATGACTATTCCTAGAAGCAGTCCAATTGTTAGCAATGAACAGGTTACCATAGCAACAAGGACCAAATTCAAAAAGCAATTTGTTAAAAACTTTAAAACAATCTTTGAAATTACCAGTTCTTCAAAAACAGGAAGCACCAAGAAAGAGAATTCTGATACAGATATTTACAAAATGATTGTCTCACCTTTCTTACAACCAGGAAGTTTTCGATGCGCTGACCATTGGGCAGTATGACATCCCCAGTTTCCTGGACGGCATCTGGCAACACCTCCATCATCTCCTGGGCGATGACGCCAGTGTCGCTGCGCTGGTTGTCCTCGATGCCAGCGCTCTCGGCATAGTCCTCGCTGTACTGGTACTTGTAGAGGCGGAGTTGTTGGACCTTCTGTAGAGCTTCTTTCGTATTCACCTGACACAAACATGACATTTATACATTTAGACAATAGTTACACAATCATTTGACTTTGTCACATATTTGTTTTAAGTTGTACCTTGTCACACAAGTCATACCTTGTGACACAACAGTCATACCTTGTGACACAACAGTCATACCTTGGTACACAATAGTTGTACCTTGTCACACAACAGTCATACCTTGTCACACAATAGTTGTACCTTGTGACACAATAGTTGTACCTTGTGACACAATAGTTGTACTTTGTCACACAACAGTCATACCTTGTGACACAATAGTTGTACCTTGTGACACAATAGTTGTACCTTGTCACACAACAGTCATACCTTGTGACACAATAGTTGTACCTTGTGACACAATAGTTTTATCCATTGACCCTACTTGGTGTATCTTGACACACAATAATGAGTGGATGTTATTTATAATGCCTCAGTCAGCTTGTTATCAAACTAGTGACAGAAAGCATGAGCAAAGATCCACATTATTTGCAAACAGCTGAAAAAACATATTATTTTACCTCCTGTAGATTTTCTTTGGCTCGAATATCTGATGGCGACATGAGGTGACCAGTCAGTTTAAGGTTGCCATGGACGGTCATGGCTTCGTCCGGGTGGTCAGTGTTGACGCCAACTCTGCCGACGTGGAACACCGAGTCCTGGGTGTGTCCCTTTGACCACAAAACGTCAACATCACTGTCAAACTGGCCTGGGTTGGATGCCTGCAATGAAAAGTGCTGTGGGATATTTTTGGGGGCTCAATGATAATTACAGAGAGGTCAGATAGCAAATCTTCTATACTAAGACAGCATAAGACATAATGGACACAAAATTATTGTACTATCATCATCACCACACTGGTGTCCTCTCCGTGATATTGCTAAAAGTGGCGTAAATCTAAACTCACTCTACCATCACCATCATCATCATCATCATCATCATTCACACCACCATCATCATCACCATCATCACCATCACACCACCATCATCATCACCATCATCATAATCATCACCACCACCACCATCACACCACCATCATTATCATCATCACCATCATCATTCATCACCACCATCATCATCATCATCATCATCATCATCATCATCACACCATCATCATCATCATCATCATCATCATCATCACACCATCACCATTATCATCATTGGCAATATAGCCTTACCCTGACAATGATTCTCTCAGAGCTGCTGGCTGCCACCAGATAGTTGTTGTCCCCGCTGTGGGCCTGTAGAGCCACCACCAACATGAAGTAGCGCTGGTCAGGGTTCGGCTTCCCCCTTCTTGCGCATATTATTGGATGTCGTCTCGCTGAAGTGCAGCCGACCAACAGTAACCTTGGTAACCTGATCCGAGTGCACGTCAACTCTGGAGGAGAGCAACAAATATAATTCAGCACTTCATCTATCTTGGAATATAAGTGTCAGGCGTCATGAACAGTTTTGGTTTGTAAATGTCTGCTGCGATATATCATACATCAAACTATTAATGGCAAACATTTTATTACTAAGAGTTTTATTTGGATTTGAACTGTTGGTATACAAGGCAGAAAATAAACAGAAGCAGTCAATTGTCACTTTCAGTTTTTGCACCCACTGATGTAATCATTATATTTCCGCTTCCAGGCAAAAGATATATCATGTATCCTCAGACAGAAGTGGCTGATTCTGCACAGGGATCCCAAGGGGTGTGGGAGGTGAGTGCAAGATGACAGAAACTCACTTGACAGGGTAGAAGGACTTCTTGCTTCTATCCGACTGTGACTGCTCTATCTTGATGACTTGTGATGCTGACTCCATCTACAACAAAAGTTACACCGTTGTCCAGTATAATGATAATAACAAACTCATTCCAGGGCTGTACAAGAAACAAGTGTCTGTCTAAGTAGTTTATTTGTTGTTCTTCACTGCACAATATTTCAGGTCTTTAACAACTGTACACAAGCATTGTCACTAAGGTGACATAATCCCCCGCCGCAAATTATCAAATCAAACTTAAAAAGTAATGAAAGTGAAGGTTGTAATTTAAGATGAAGTTAAATGTCAACAAAAACATGACCAGTCAACCTCTCTTGATATCTTGCTCTGTAGTTGTTCAAATGCACAAATATTTTCAAGACTCACTTTGACCTTGACATGAATGTCTTAGTGTATGAAATATGCAAAAATAGTAATAAAGAAATTGCTTATTGAAAAACATTCAAGGGAAGTCTTGAAAGTCTATGAAGAAAATCCAGTGAACTGTTCTTGAGATATCTCGCTGACAATCTTAACATGCAGCTTAACATGCTGAAATCTTCAAAGTGTCGCCATGACCTTGAAAATTAGGTGAAGGTCACCAAAATTGACTGGGCCCTGCGCCTTCCCTAGATAAAGCTTGGTGTTGAATATGAAGAAAATCCAGTGAACGGTTCTTGAGATATCTACGCTGACAAGGGTAAAACGTTAAAGTCCCCTTGTGACCTTGAAATGAAGGTCAAGGTCACCAAACCTGACTGGGACCTTTCTTTTACTGTGATGAACCTAGGTACCAAATATGAAAAGAATCCAGTCAACGGTTCTTAAGGTATTCCAATTCCGCTGCGCGCTAAACGCGCGGCGTGGGATAATAAACGAGTCTGAAGGATTGACATCATGAGCACTACTGTAAGCAAATTGAATTCAATGACATATATCAACGAAATCCGTCAGTCTGACTGCCAAATACTGTTAGCCACATCTTGTGACAAGCATGGCCGGTTAAGAAAGACTAATTCCAACTCAGATTTTCATGGACAGTCAAGCACTGGTTGCTGAAGGCTAGTTTTGGATTTTCAAGGGTAGAAAAAGATGGGTAGCTGAAGAGCCATTTTAATCCAGACCTTCACGAACTCCATATAGTTATAATTTTGAAAATACATTGACATGAATATGCTCAAATTTCTGAGAAAGCTGGTTTTGGTTTGTGATGACCAGAGGTTTTATTGATAAAACATACAAGAGAACTCAAATTATTCTCAGGGCTAGAAATCAAACTCTCATGACATTATGTAAGACCTCATGTACATTATTCTTACCTTAATACCATGAAAATGTAGATGAAAGCTTTCAATTTTCTTTACGCCTTCGGTTGTGCGGACATATTTAGCTTCTCCTAAGGCTCCGATGTGAACTGTAACCTGGAAATGATTCTTCTTCTGGCAGACGAAGGCGTCATCTGGCACCGAGAAGTTAAACCCTTTGTCAGCGTCTACACGATATGATGGCGTTGGACTGGAATGATAAAGTATGTATGTGACACAAGGCATGAAATTGTACTGACCAAAATATTCAGGACAAAGACATGGCTACACTTAGGAAGACATATTGGAATAGATGCCTCATTTCCATTAACGTCAGTTATCTCCCTTGCTAACAAAAACTAGCATTCACATTTCCCTTCAATAAATTTTTAATAAAGACTTATAGTTACAGCTACCCACATATTATTGGCTCAAATTTAACATTCAAATGGTAATGCACATTTGAATAACGTCAGAGTTACTTCCCTTCCCATACTGATTAAATGGGGGAATGTTTCTCCTTAGAGTTACTTCCCTTCCCATATATTCCTGATTCAACCTCCTTCCCAGCCTGACACTATCATTATACTTCTAGTACCATTTCTGCCACCAGTGCCCATCACAATGCTATTTTATTGTGTCAGGAAAAAGTTTTAGACTTGTTTAAATTATTTTGACTGCAGGCTAACTGAAAATCGCTGAAATTCACCCTACATCTTAATTATATGATTTTACTTTATTTATTATATGATAGTTGAAATGAATTAGAATTAAAACTGACAACAAAACAATTTAGCTGTGGGAAGAGAAAAACTATCAACCAGTTGGTTTGCCAGTTTAACACAGTTGTAAGATGCCACACTGTGGGTAGGTATGACTGTTAACTGTGATAGGACTGAGAGGTGCATGAATGGGCTGTGACTTAGTGAAGGTTGATTGATCTTTATTGGGAGTTTATTTTCCTTAGAGTTACTTCCCTTCCCATATCAATCTTTTGGGTAAGTTTTTGTGATACCTGCAGATCAAGTAAAATGGATACTGTTATTACATTCTGGTATCCATGACGACTTACATGTCCTTGAGTTCTGCATCAGTCAACACACAATACTTCTGCTGGTTGTAAGGCTGCCATTTGATAACTTGATATGTGCTGTCGGTGAAGCTGCCATCAATGTCGTAGGAGTAGTCGTCGTCTCCGCTGCAGTCTGGCACGGAGTAACCTGGGAAAGGTGACTGGCCAGGAAGTGGACATGAGTTCCTCATAAACAGATCAGGAGTGTCCAAACCTGCAGGCACAGAAATTGAGAAAAATTCAAATCAAAATGAAAATGAGATAATTCTTGCCTGAGTTAAGAGTGAATGAGTGAGTGAGCTGGGTTAACACCTCTAGAACAGCATTTCAGTTCATATTATGGTGATGGGGCGGTGGGGTAGCCTGGTGGTTAAAGCGTTTGCTCGTCACGCCGAAGACCTGGGTTCGAATCCCCACATGGGCACAATGTGTGAAGCCCTTTTCTGGTGTCCCCCGCTGTGATATTGCTGGAATATTGCTAAAAGCGGCGTTAAACCATACTCACTCAGTCATATCATGGTGTAAAGTTTTTAATGTGGGAGGGAATATTGGATTTGTGCATGTCTTGGAAAGCAAAACCTACAATCTCTAATATAGTGCCAACAAAGGAATTATCAGTAGATCCTGTCACTACCAAGGTACATAACTATGGTTCCACTTCTGCCATCTTAAAGGCACAATTTCACACATTTTTGACAATATTTTGGCCTATATTACACTTAATGGGGCATATACACTCACTTAAGCTTCCTATTGATGCAATAAAAGACTTATTATCCCTTACAACTTGACTGAAATCGATAATTGAAACTTTGAGGTGAACAGCTTCCAAACAAATAACACTTGCCACATATGGAACGTAAACAATTGTTCCGTATATTGAAAAGTGTCGCACGCGGTGTTGTCGGTGTTTGCCAAACTGGTTTCAATAACAAGTTGTACATATGATATTCATAAAGAGTGCTCCAAGGGACATAAATGTATGGGGTTCGCTTGAAATAATGTCCGGACGGTAGAGAGTCGATTTAATGCAACGTTGCATTAATTTATTTTAACTTTTTAATTCAATATTGTAATCTAAATACATTTTTTTTTCAAATAAATTAGAAATGCATTATGTATTTTTAGAGAAGTGTGGTGTGAAATAGTTTCTTTAAATTGACAGTGGTAAAACCTATAAGAAGGGTACAGTGCTGACAGACAGAGGATCATAGTTATACCATATCAGTAGATCCTGGCACTACCAAGGGACTTAACCATGGGATCACTTGTACCATCCAAAGCTTAATAAATTGATAGATCACATTGTCTTTAAGCAATCTTCCACAAGGATATCTTAGTGATCATAAGCCAGTGTATGGCATTTAGCATGTGGGCAATAACATCACTCATTACAATAACAGTCACGGCGATGTTGCTGTACCTGCTGGTTCCTGCTTGATGCTGACAATACTGTTCATGCCGTTGAGCATGTTGGTCATCATTGTGTTGTTGGGGGAGTCGGGATACTTGCGCTTCTTCGTAGGCTGACCTTGAAGGTTACTTATGCTGACATGGAAATAGACATACAGATATTAGCAAAATGACAACCAAGCCAATTCCAATTATGAAACATAACAACCATTTGTACATTAGGAAGTGTTCTAAGCGATCAGTATTCCTTCAAACTCAGTGGACCTGTGAAGATCTGGGGTAGAATAGGTCTTCAGTAACCCATGCTTGCCACAACAGGCGACTATGCTTGTCATAAGAGGCGACTAACGCGATTGGGTGGTCAGGCTCGCTGACTTGGTTGACACATGTCATCGGTTCCTAATTGCGCAGATCGATGCTCATGCTGTTGATCACTGGATTGTCTGGTCCAGACTCGATTATTTACAGACCGCCACCATATAGCTGGATTATTGCTGAGTGCGGCATAAAGCTAAACTCACTCACTCACTCATGTATACATATTACTCAAAGAAGTAAAGGCAGACATCATTTACTTTTGTGTAATTTGTTTTCACACTCTTCTTAAAGAGTCTGTGAGCTGGGTTTAACGACGCCTTGAGCATTTGATTTAATTTCATCTCTGCCACTACTCAATAGGAATATTCTGCTTGAGATACGGTACCAGATCACAAAATACGATTGTTGACATTAGGGATGGTTAAAATGAGTGATGATCAGAAATATCATTGATTGGAAAAATTATTAATTATTATCGATATCATACATAAACCTTTGTGATAGAATAAAGTTTTAATTCACTCACACAATACACAAAGCTAAGTTTTTATTCATGTTTCTAAATTATGTTCAGGACGCTGTTTTGTTGCATTTCTAGGCTTTTAAGGCTTTTTTTGCTCAAAGTTACTTCTGCGATATTTATCGATAATCTATCAATATTTAGTTAACGATTATCGATTTTTATTATCAATATCAATAATCAGCCCTATCTGACGTAGACCTCACCTGCCAAAGTGGGAGTTCATTATAGGGTGGCTGTGAGGTGGAGTCATCTGGTGGGGGTGAGGATGAGGTGTAGGCGGCGGCTGTGTGGCGGGCAGGTGGTTCAGCTTGGGGGGCTCGTGCATGTAGGCTGGTAGGTGCCCTGGGGGTGGTCCTGGAGGAGGGCCCTTCCCTGGCATCTGGATGTGGGTTCTGTGTTGTGGGTACATCGGGCCAGGGATTGTGGTTACAGGAACCATCGAATGTGGCTTGGGGTCTGTGAAAAAAACAAGAACACAATTACAACCTATTTGAAACAATATCAAGATAGCTGGTTTACCTCTTTTGGTTGATTGAGGAATAATGGCAGTTTCACAATTTACACACCACCCTGAATTTTGAAAAAAAAACTTATTCGTATGTTATTTGATTGTCTATATTGTCTCCTTATAGACACTTCAACACAATCAGCATATATTTGTCTTGCAGTGCTGTTTAAATTATGTAAAGAGTACCCACAGGGTCGCATAATGAGCCTGTTGAATTGGATTTTAAGGCAGCATTTATCATTATTCCAGTCATGTCACAACAGTGGACTAAAGAAGAGGGTATAATGCTGTTTTGAACAATATCCACCCAAGGATGGGAGGTCATTGATGGAAGGGGGTGGTGGGGTAGCCCACTAGTTAAAGCGTTTGCTTGCTATGCGGAAGTCACGGGTTTGATTCCCATACCACAAAACTCATACCAACAAAATAATAATCATTTATTCATGTCGTATAATATACATGGCTGATTATGAAAAAACAAATAAACAAAATTATAAGCGTATAATCGCAACTCAAAAGTGCAATAGTTTGTACTTGGGTTTACTATCCTCGAAACGAAGCACCTGGGATACTGAACCCAGTCAGAGCGGGTGGGTGTGCACTTAAGTGTAACGAAGCCTTTCATTGGCTGGTTCATTTGCCGATACGCTCAGCACAGCTGTTGAAACCACTTTTCACCCTAGCTGGTTTGTTCTGTTTGAACTCCGATTTTGCAGGATTTTTTTCATCACGTTATTTTTCAACTTTATAAGTTGAATTTGCATTTTTGATAATTTGTTACTGTCCATACCGAAAGGTATCAGAATCTGCAAAGTTGTGTTTTGCATTGCATGTAAGCTTTAAACTAATGCAAACATGAATATTTTTAAAGATATTGTCAAATTTTACAACCAATTTTTAGCTTAAAAAGAATTTGAGCAAATAGTTCCCTCAAAGCTGAGATCCTCCCCAAAGTAATTTGCCCTTCATCATCTTGGGCCAAAAGTAAAGATACCCCCCACATTTCTCTATTTTCATTACATTTACCAAAATATTTAAACATCCCATGTCACTGGGACCACAGCTCCAATTACAGAATACGCAACAATATCCACACATCTACATCAAAAGTTCCCCACAAAATTGAGATTATTCAAAACAGATGATTATTCTAACTATTATTCTGTGTTAAATGTTAATCCCAGTTCGCTCCTGGTACGACTTTTGTAGAAACGAGAGAGACTTTATCATAATGCAGGTGTTGTTATGAATAATAATATCGGGCAGGATATAACGCCTTTATTACCTCTCACCTGTAGGCGTTCTCTAGTCGCTCTCGTCATATGACAAACCAGTTATTCAGCTACCTTGCCTTGGACAATCACTCAAATCAAGGTATTGAGCAATACTGACTTAAAAACAATTTTTGAGAGGTGAGACAGTTAAACGTGTTTGAAAGATTTTCTTGATCTATATGCCAATTTCGGTTGTTGTAAGGGTTGAAATTCCCAAAATAAACCTTGAAACAAGTTTTATCACAAACACACAAGATCATTTTTAAAAATGATAAATTTTTAATTGATGTTTCACCTTTGCAAAATTTGTGAAAAGCAATATATACTATTCAAACCAAGTCTTCTGGGACACCAGAAATGGGCTTCACACATTGTACCCATGTGGAAATCGAACCAGGGTCTTCGGCGTGATAAGCGAACGCTTTAACCACTATGCTACACCACTGCCCCTGCTAATTATGAATATGGAAGAATTAATGTGTTTGTATCATGACACCCCTATTAACATGCTTAACACTAGACATCAAGCTGGCTCATTCTTTGAGCTTTTTAACTAATACACTGACTGAGTTTTTTAGTTATATATTGCAATATTCCACACCCAAGCTGAAAATTGTGCCCAAGAATCGAATTCTTTGAGCTTTTTTTTAAACAACAAGTGAAATAAACCTGCGAAACTATGGAGAACACCAGAAATGGGCTTCACACACTGTTCCCATGTGGGAATTGAACCTGGGTTTTCAGCATGACAAGTGAATACTTTAACCACTAGGCTAACCCACTAACCCACTGCCCCTGTCAATCATGACAAAACAAAGAAAACTGCTTTATCTTAATATCCTCATCCATGTTAAGTGAGTGAATTGGGTTTTATGCCGATGTTAGCAATATTCCAGCAATATCATGGCGGGGGACACCAAAACTGGGCTTCACACATTGTAGCCATGTAGGGAATCGAACCTGGGTCTTGGTGTGACGAGCAAACACTTTAACCACGAGGCTACCCCATTGCCCTCATCCATGTTAAGTAAACATAATTCCCTTTCATTGAAATGCCTCTAACATTAAAATACACAAACACTGTTGTGAAAATGAGAGAAGGTGTATGGCACGGGAAACGTCAACGACATCCGAGATTAATTCACATGACAGGGATTGAAACAAACTTTAATGTCATTTCTCCCCTATTCGCCTGGCTATCCAGATTTGTCAGGCATCAGTGAAGGTGAAACAATCCTTACCTGCATACTGCCCACATTGACGCTGTGCATTATCCAAAATGCGGATTCTTAAGTGCATAAGCATTACTGTTCTCACTTAATAGCAGTCACTGTGGTATGATCTTGCTCTCAAAGAGTTTTAAACAAAGTCGAAATTGTCAAGCCCATTTTGCATTTGTAAGAATGCCTGAAGACAAGCATAGTCCTGTGTACGAGATTCATTCCAGGGTTCGTACCACTCACGGCTTGGCCAAAATCTTGAGACAATATCTCCTTGCATGCCCTATGGCCTTATAAGATGGGGGAGATAGTTGTTAATTTAATGCCAGTATTCCAGACAGGGAACATCAAACAACCAGAAATATCCTGCTGATGTTTATCTTGCTATTGTTTATTATAAACATAAACAAAGTAGAAATATGAAAGGCGAGTGGATGAGTTGGTTTGGTTTAATGCTGCATCAAACTGAATTTCAGTATCATGGCCCTCTTGATGTGGAGATAATTCCAAAGGTGCAGGTTTTAAATGTCTACCACTTTGGTGAAACCCATGAGCTCAGGGATTTTGCTAACAAACATTGGATCATAATCAGAGTGAGTGAGTGAGTTCAAATTTTACGTCATATCGGCAATATTTCAGCCTTATCGTGACGACAAAATGTTTTGTACTAAGAATAGATATATTTATACTTTTTGAAAACCTGTCAGCGAAGGACAGCATAACGACTAGATTATCACAAAGTAATTAAAACTTAGTTTGAGTTCAGTGTAAAATGTTAAATCATTTCAAAATAACACAATATAAAATCGGGCTATAGATTGCCAGCAACTGAAGGTAGATCACCATACTAGGGGGACCATGGGAACTTACAGTGCCTTTGCTACCTGCATGGTCCCTAGCTGGATTATCACCATCCCCACAGCCGCTGGGGATGGTAGGGAAATTTAGCCATAATTCAAAATTACAAATATTCTACGTCTAAAAAGCATGGTTGAGCTAAATTGACTTTGAAAGTTTTGGGACTTACGTATCCTCCTAGCAGGAGGATTATAATCAGAAGCCATGGGATTTGAGCCCATCTGTTTCTGCCCATGATGCTAAAGTTTTACTTTAGGTTCAGTTTTAATCATGATTGAACGAGAACAAAGATTATTGTATTTCTATATCTGTAAACATATGGTTTATTTCCTTTCTTAATATTTACAGTAAAACACAGTATTCTAATGGTGTAAAGAGTATGTCCACACTTCTGTTGTGAAGAGAAACGGTGTAGAGAGTATGTCCACACTTCTATTGTGAAGAGAGTACTGTGTAGAGAGTATGTACACACTTCTATTGTGAAGAGAGTATGGTGTAGAGAGTATGTACACACTTCTATTGTGAAGAGAGTATGGTGTAGAGAGTATGTACACACTTCTATTGTGAAGAGAGTATGGTGTAGAGAGTATGTACACACTTCTAGTATGGTGTGAAGAGCCCACACTTCTATTGTGAAGGGAGTATGGTGTAGAGAGTATGTCCACACTTCTATTGTGATGGGAGTATGGTGAAGAGAGTATGGTGTAGAGAGTATGCCCACACTTCTATTGTGAAGGGAGTATGGTGTAGAGAGTATGTCCACACTTCTATTGTGATGGGAGTATGGTGTAGAGAGTATGTCCACACTTCTATTGTGAAGGGAGTATGGTATAGAGAGTATGTCCACGATTCTACTGTGATGGGAGTATGGTGTAAAGAGTATGTCCACACTTCTACTGTGAAGAGAGTATGTGAACACTTGAGGTATGTAGAGAGCATGTGAACACATGTGGTAGTGAAGAGAGTATGTGAACACTTGTAATGCTGTAGACAGTATGCAAACACTTGTATGAAAGGTATACTTGTAATGGTTAAAGACTATGTGAACACTGCAAATGACATAGAGAGTATACAAACACCACAGTTAATGGTGTAGAGTTATAGAGTAAAGTTTTACACCACTTTTAGAACAAATGTAAAGGTTCAGAGAGTATGTGAAGACTTGTAATGGTGTAGAGAGTATTTGAACACTTGGAATTTGAACTGCACACTTGAGTCAGTACATCTCAGCAAGTTCTCGGCAAACAAAGACACCACTCAGAACAGCTTAGCGTCAGTCAGACAAGTTAAACATATTCAAAATCTCGGTATTACATTTCACTGATCAAAATAACTGCCCCACTTTATCAACTTGAACTATAAAAAAACAAACTGGGCTATTAAAATATGTGAAAAGTAAAATATCCAGATGATAGTTTGTGTGACAAAAACAAAACAAAAAACAACAGACAATTGGTTATCAACCTAAAATAAACCTACACATTTGTACTATTATTAAAACTAATCTCTACAAATTGTTATGATGTCTGTTACACCATACAAAGGTCAATAAATGACAGACAAGTTGGCTGTGTTGCAGCTACTGTTTACTTTTTGTGCCATGTGGGGTTGATACAAAAATTAGGAATTGAGCAATTACAAAAGTTGACTTTAGGTGAAATAAAAATGAAGCGAAACGATTCGTAAATTATGAAATGAAATTACAACACAAATAAGGCCTAAAACCCAGTACTTTTATAAATTTGAATGAAAAGATAACTAATAGACATAATGATCAAAATATAATTGTACCGTAACTTGAAGAAAACCTTTGACCTATTTCGGAAACAGATGAAGGGAAGCACAAAACATGGGAGTAAACCAACACAACCTCTTACCCAGTATATGATTGGCTGACAAATCATGGCATTATGCTTTCTGAACAAGTGCATCTGAAACTATACAAGGGAGGTAACTCTGAACTCACCTTGCATATTGTGCTGGTTGCCATCTGGGGGAGAATATGGCTCAGACCCTGAATCTGGGGGGCTATCTGGTAGCGATCTGGAAAATGAATGAATGAAAGAATGCGGTTATAAGCAGATACACCAATATTTCAACAACAAAAACAATGACTGGACACCAAGAATGGCCTTTATACACTGATACACAAGAAGATCCTGGTTAGAATGGGTCTTCAGTAACCCATGCTTGTCGTATCAGATGATAAACGGGATTAGGCTCGCTGACTGGGTTGACATATGTCATCGCATCAGAATTGCAAAGATCGATGCTCATGCAGCTGATCAACGGATTGTGACTCATCCAGACTAACAGATTAACAGAACGCCACCATATACCTGGAATATTGCTGAGTGCGGAGTTAAACAAAAAACTAAAAAAAAACAATACAAACTTTATGAAATATGTACTCAATCACACACCTGGTTCAAGAAGAGAACATGCAACCCATTTGTTTAAGGAAAATGTATTTGCAGAGTCGCATCCCTTAGATGCACCAGAAACCTATGATCTTGGGTTTGAATCCAAGATTCACACACATATGTTTCTAGGTTTGTCAGCACAATACCAATCCTTATTGATTTCAGGTGAATAGGATCAAGAACAAAGTAGGCAACAGTTTAAAATTAATCTTATTGTTAAAATCATTTAATCAGTTATTGTTGAAAACCTCCCATTTGACACACTGTGACTCTAAACGTCTCTCTACAAAACAAATTGCTATCATATCATTATACATGACAGATTGTTATCATTCATATCATCGTAAAAGGACATATTTTTATCTCTCTACAAGACAGTTATTATTTATATATCATCCTAAAGAACAAATTGTTCTTATCTATGTCATGCTTCAGGACAGATTTTTATCATGTATGTTATCCTAAAGGCCTGCCTGCCTGAGTTTGGTTTTACGCCACTTTTAGCAATATTCCAGCAATATCACGGCGGGGGACACCAGAAATGGGCTTCACACATTGTACCCATTTTGGGAATCGAACCCGGGTCTTTGGCGTGACGAGCCAACACTTTAACCACTAGGCTACCCCACCACCCCTGCTATCCTAAAGGACAGTTTGTTGTTTATATATTATCCTATAGGAGAGATAAATAGTTTTATCATCTTACAGGAAAATTTATGATTTACATCACCCTACAATGTAGATTATCATTACTAATATTATTCTAAAGCACAGATTGTTATTATCTATATCATCCTGCAGAATAAGTTGTTATCATGTATAATCACCTTAAAAGACTTGTACTATGTATAATCTATGTAACAGACAGTTTGTTATTATTCATATCTTTTTACAGGACAGATTGTTTTTATAAACAATTAGATAATTTTACAAGACTTAGTTTGATTCCCCACATGGGTACAATGTGTGATGGCCTTTTCCGGTGTTCCCCGCCGTGATTTTACTGGAATATTGCTAAAAGCGGTGTAAAAGTAAAATCACTCACTCGATACAGGGCATACATTACTACTTACTACAAGGCAGATTATCATTACTAATATCCTTCTACAAGGAAGATTATCATTACTAAAATCGTTCTTTCTACAAGGCAGATTATCATTACTAATATCCTTCTACAAGACTTAGATTATCATTACTAATATCCTTCTACAAGACTTAGATTATCATTACTAATATCCTTCTACAAGACTTAGATTATCATTACTAATATCCTTCTACAAGACTTAGATTATCATTACTAATATCCTTCTACAAGACTTAGATTATCATTACTAATATCCTTCTACAAGACTTAGATTATTGTTACTAATATCCTTCTACAAGACTTAGATTATCATTACTAATATCCTTCTACAAGACTTAGATTATCATTACTAATATCCTTCTATCCTTCAAGACTTAGATTATCTTAGATTACTAATATATCTTCTACAAGCAAGATTTAGATTATCCTTCTACAAGACTTTACTATCCTTACTACAAGACTTAGATTATCATTACTAATATCCTTCTACAAGACTTAGATTATCATTACTAATATCCTTCTACAAGACTTAGATTATCATTACTAATATCCTTCTACAAGACTTAGATTATCATTACTAATATCCTTCTACAAGATTATTATCATTACTAATATCCTTCTACAAGACTTAGATTATCATTACTAATATCCTTCTACAAGACTTAGATTATCATTACTAATATCCTTCTACAAGACTTTAGATTAATACTAATATCCTTCTACAAGACTTAGATTATCATTACTAATATCCTCTACAAGACTTAGATTATATTACTAAGACTTCTACAAGACTTAGATTATCATTACTAATATCCTTCTACAAGACTTAGATTATCATTACTAATATCCTTCTACAAGACTTGAGATTATCATTACTAATATCCTTCTACAAGACTTAGATTATCATTACTAATATCCTTACAAGACTTAGATTATCATTACTAATATCCTTCTACAAGACTTTGATTATTATCCTTCTACAAGACTTAGATTATCATTACTAATATCCTTCTACAAGACTTAGATTATCGTTACTAATATCCTTCTAATATACTAATATCCTTCTACAAGACTTAGATTATCATTACTAATATCCTTCTACAAGACTTAGATTATCATTACTAATATCCTTCTACAAGACTTAGATTATCATTACTAATATCCTTCTACAAGACTTAGATTATCATTACTAATATCCTTCTACAAGACTTAGATTATCGTTACTAATATCCTTCTACAAGACTTAGATTATCTTGGATTATTACTAATATCCTTCTACAAGACTTAGATTATCATTACTAATATCCTTCTACAAGACTTAGATTATCATTACTAATATCCTTCTACAAGACTTAGATTATCGTTACTAATATCCTTCTACAAGACTTGAATTATCGTTACTAATATCCTTCTACAAGACTTAGATTATCATTACTAATATACTTCTACAAGACTTAGATTATCATTACTAATATCCTTCTACAAGACTTAGATTATTGTTACTAATATCCTTCTCCAGGACAGATTATTAATTAATTATTAGTCTTCTCATAGAACTATTTCCTTTATTTATATCATCCTACCACACTGATTTTGCAAATATATATCATATTTCTAGCATTATTGTTGGTATCTTACTGACTTCTGAGCAGGTACTAAACAGGATACTAGCTATAGAAATATCTAGATATTATTATTATTATTATTAATACTGTCAGTCTCTAAGTGACAGATCACTTAAATCAACATGCCTCAAACTCATATTAGCGACACCCACGCTGTAAGGGAAGGCATACTTTTGAGCAATGAGTCAGTCCCCCCCCACCTAAAGTAAGATCACCAATTAGTGTAAATTGAAGCAGCCATAGCTGCAGTCTCAAGGCTGGGGCTGTACCGGGGACAACAGCAACCTTTTCATGTGAACACTGTATAAACCTTCAATAAATATGTCGTCAAGGCAACTTGTCTTTCCATTTGTGTACGTTTGGCTTTGAGTGTGTGGCTCCAAACGTGACAAACACTATCAAATGGCGTTCTAGCAAAGAAGCCGTTCCCTGAACGTCGTACCCATCTCCAAATGTTACGTGTATGCCACATGGCCGTTGGGAGAGGGGTTGTACTCTACACCGTAGGATCACGACAGGGGCTGAAGATGGTTCGCACCTATTCTGCTCCTTTCTCTTGTACGTGGTGATATTTTGACACTTATGGTACTGTCAGTTCGAAACAAGTACCTGCCAGGGAGGTCATTCTTGGAGGTCTTGATGTTCTATTTTGATATTTCGCACTTCCTCTCACTGATTACAGATTCCTACTGTAGACCACGAAGCAGTTCAATTCAGCCAAGAAAATATCAATTTCATAATAAACAAAGAATGCTGATGGTTTGTTTATGATTTTATGAAAAAAATATTCTCAAATATTTTTATTTATCATTATTACAGATTTATACTATACACCATGGAACCATTCAATTCAGCCAAGAAAACATCAATTTCAAAATAAACAAAGAATGCTGAATGGTTTGTTTATGATTTTATGAAAACAAATTTTTCCTCAAATATTTTTTTCCGCAACATATGCACAATTTGAATTGCTTTTCATCTGCAAAATCTTTAACATCTATCTTCAGCTCAGTTTCAACCCAAATATATCCTTTAAAATCAATTTAAATATCATCCAATATAAAAAATTGAAAATGAAAATTATGAATAAAAATTCTAAAAATTCTAAAATTAACTTTAAAAATGAACAAATATAATTTTAACAAAGTTTTACATAATTCTTTTCTTGACATGAATATAATATAATTGAAATGATGTATTCACAGATTTAGAGGCGAGGCTTTCTGTGGATGCCAGGTACTAGGTGGTACCAGTCCGCCCTCATCGTTGTGACGGGAGACAGAGTGGGGGCTGGTAGCGCGAGACAGTGCAACCAACCGACACATCACTCCCATGTCCTCACACCTACACTTTACATAAGTATACCACAGACACGGATGTAGCCTTAAGGCATTTCTCTGAGCTGTCTTACTGAAGATATGTCAGGAAGATGTTCAGATCATTCACCTACTCAAATGTGCTGCTTCAAAACTTCACACAGAAATCTTATTCATTAGTTTCAGAATAACGAGAATAAATTAGGGGGGGCTTAACTGTTGTTAGTATTGATATTATCTGTTTTTCATCCTTTTTATAGATGTCATTACTTTTGTACAATAAAGTAGTTACTGGTTTCAAATAAAGGTAAAAGTGAATGAATATCTCTAAGTCTTTTGTTATTATTTTGGATGAGACTTAATTTTCCAATACAATTAACCACTATTTTTATCTCTTCCTGACTTATGTAACAAGAGTCATCAGAAGATGACATATCCCCCCAGACCCACATATTTGAAAGAACAAATCATCTGACAGTTACTTAAAGTCCAGCTTGACATTTTTTTAAAATAAGTCCAAATCGTTTCCATGGAAATCATGAGAAATATAAATGCCAAAAATCTGTAAATGGCAAACAGCACCATTTTGAAATGTGCCTAATATATTGGCAAGATCTGTTGAAAGGTACTGAAATCGTTTCCATGGAAACCGGGAAAAATAAAAATGCCAAAATCTGCAAATAGCAAAAGGCACCACTTAAGGTTCTGTTTGATATATCTACCAAGTTTTGTTGAAAAATATTGAACGTTCTTGAGTTATGCTCCGGAAAAGAAGCCCACCCCTCCATTTTGGGACTAAGTCCAAAACATTTCCACGGAAACCGAGAAAAATGACAAAAATCTGTAAATAGCAAAAGGTAGACTAATGCTTAGTCTCTGAATATATATAATTTTGATAGTAACAAACAAGCCCATTTAAATTGAAAAGGAGCCCCAAGGAGACCAGAGATTCAGACCTGAGGAAATCTAGACTTTCTTTATTTAGGGCTTTAGCACTGCAGAGAGGGCTTGGCAGTAGGGAAAATAATGTGGTTCAGGGACAGTGAGACAGACTAAGCAAAAGGCACCACCTTAGGTTCTGTTTGATATATCTACCAATTTTAGTTGAAAATTATTGAACGGTTCTTGAGTTATGCTCTGGAAACAAAATGATTACGGACGGACAGACGGATGGACGAGGTGACGACTATATCCCCCTGCATTACATGCCGGAGGATAAAAATTGAAATGTGTTGATCACAGCACCTTGACACTTAATATACATAACCATTAGGCTGCATATATGAGTATGGTTTTACGCTCCGCTTTCTGAATTATTCCAGCAATATCTGGGTGACACCAGAAATTGGCTTTACACATTGTACCCATGTACGGAACCAAACTCCAGTCTTGGCTTGATAAACGAACGCTTTAACCACTAGGCTACCCCAGCTTCCATTTGACTGCATGAAGGCTTGCCAACTAGGTTATGTGTTAAGAATCAATTTATAAATATGCAATATGCATATTGAGGGGTAGCTCAGTGGTAAATGTGTTTGCCCATGATGTAATAATCTTGGTTTGATTCCCATAGACTTCAGGAGATAAATGTTATCTGTTTCCATTTTGAACTGACTGGGTCAGACAGATGTTCATATGTTAAAAACCTTTGGGTTTCAAGTACTTAATAACACCTACAAATATCAAAATACACAAAGTTCATCAATACTGTCAATTTACTGTTGGGGTCAACCTCTTTGGACATGTATCATAGGGGCAAGGCATCACACCTTCATCAGGTTCATGGTTCCAAAGCAAGAACTTCTTTAAAAGATGCTACTCACGTGTGATGTTTATATACATGGTGTTGCGTGGGGTCGAAGTTGACGCGTGTGTTGGGCACGCTGCAGTACATGCTCTGAGCATGTGTGGTCTGGGGCTGAGGGTTCAGATGTGATGTAAGTCGAACGTTCAGCTTCAGGTCACTCATCCCTGACTGGTCAGGTCGACCTGTTCCATAGGCCACTGCCTGGATTGCCTCCTCTGGGAGGCACCTGAAACATTAAACACTGTGTGAAGGCAAAGGGAGACAACTGAAACATTAAACACTGTGTGAAGGCAAAGGGAGACAACTGAAACATTAAACACTGTGTGAAGCCAAAGGGAGACAACTGAAACATTAAACACTGTGTGAAGCCCAAGGGAGACAACTGAAACATTCAGTCATGTGACACAAAAGGAAAAGGGAGATAACTCTTACAAGCAATGGTGTGCAAAACAAAGGGGAGACAAAAGAAATGACATTTAAACTTGTGTGAAAGCACACCAATTCAAATATTTTGGTACAACCATGACAGGCGAGTGAATATTGTTATGGAGTCTGCAAGAATATTCCAGCTAAACCCTGGTGGCAAATATATATTGCCACAACTGAGCCCTTTGTGTAGAAAGATGACAAGCAATCAGACAAAAAACAGAATCTGTCCATTCATGTACTGGGAACCAAATCTATTCAATTAACCAATTAGCACCAAGAAGCACCAAAATGCACACATGCACCAACTGGAAAGTGTAGAGTCAACAATATAATCGTATAAAGTTATCCGTAGTACCACACAAGTGGAGTGTTCATATTCAGATAATAAACACTTTTTTCAATCTAAATCAGGGTTCACAAAATCACTCTGGAGGACTAGTGTTCCTGAATTTTGTGTCTACATTGTTTTCAGTCATATTCTGTTCCAGATTGTAACAGACATAAAGCACAGAAAACTATGAGTGTTACTGACCAACAAGGACCGCTATCACTAGTTCATTTAGTGACTTTCCTTATATAGCAGACACGAGACGCTCCGACTTGTTGTCTGTGGTCCTTAAAATTTCATTACCAATTGACAAAGAGGAACCTTTTTTAAATATTTAGTTCCATGGTAATGCAGCCATCAAGTCAGAAGTTTTTAATGTAGTTTGAAACCTCTAATGAACCGAAGATTGTGTATTTTGCACATGCATGGTGGAATAAACCAAATAGTAGAAACATAGGCTACATTGTAGTGTTGGGAATTGGTTAAAATCTAATAATTGATGATTGGTCCATTACAACCAATCAATCATCGAAAATAATTGGTTAGCGTCATTTATCAAATGTTCCTGTTATTTTTGTTAATGCACACAAAAAATAAAGAAAAAACGTAGTAATTGGTGTTTTTTTGCAAATTGCATAAAGTTCATTTGCAAATTTTGCATATTTAAATGATGATTAGTATGTAAGGAACACATATTTCCTGGATTCTTTAAGAAAAATTCAATCATGACTTGGAACGAGCTTGTACATGTAGTGCTTATGAAATGTAAATTTAATGACACAGACAAAACCAGCCTTGTGAAAAATATTGTTAAGGCAAACAAGTGTTCCAAGATTGGTCGTGTTCGATTATGAGAAAACATGTTCGATTGCTTGGTCGTTTAGTCACTGCGACCAATCTTCGATTATTTCAATTAATCGGACCACCACTACTACATTGTCCATCCTTTCCATTACAGACAGTGACTTTTTCAGTGAAATCCACCAGATTGCCAAATATGAATCAAAAGTACAAAGTAATGTACTGGAAAGATTGATGGAGATGTTTCCACCTACACTGTCCAATTGGGACTGTCTATTAACCAGGATCCACATAAACAAGGTTTCAGTCTAAGTTAATGAGTTCAGGTAATGTTTTTGTAATTTAGGCCAGACCAAGTTTATTTCTTGTTTCATGGACTTTTGTCCTCACAAAACCTAAAGGCAGGAGGGGTTAAAAATAAAAATAAAATCACCGGTCAAAGTAATATTCCTTCTAAATATTAAAAGTATTTTACTTTTGGCAATTTATGAAGTGTACATGGGGCAAAAAACAATCAGAAAAACATTTTCTTGTAAGTTTACATTTTTGGCCAATTAAAACATTAGGATTTTATTTTGTGAGTGGGGAAAATTAATTTATTTTTTTACTTATTCTTGAAAAAATACGGCCTGCGGATCCGTAAAACAAGAAATAAAATTGGTCTGGCCTTAACTTGTATTATGGGCCTATGGCCTTTTTGCAGAATAAATCTGTCTGTCTTAACAAGTTCTGGACACAGATGCGTTAATGGCCTAACTCTTGACACTGGCAGCGGAATTAACCAACAACGAAATACATTCACACTTCAGAGAGCACTTTCCGCCTCATATTGACACTAGGCACGTCGACACTTAGTCAAACTGAGTTAAGAATTCAAAATAGATTGCCTCGCTGATCTGAGTTTAGGTATGGCCGGGTTCAACGCCGGTACAATTCCAGAATAAATGTGTGATCAACGCAAAGAAAAAATAAACTGTTTCCCTAATCTGTTAGGACTGAATGGGTACACTGAAGACTTCAAATATGATGGCATCCTTGAGTTAAATATTAATAGTTGTGTGCGGGTGTAACTTTGTGTGGTTACCATGGAAACTGATTTTGTAACGCTGAAAATAGTTGTTATGAACAGCAGACAAGTTTATTCACTGGTGATAATTTCAAAATGTTTTTCTCTCCTAAAAACACCTGGAAAAAAACACTATTCTGAATCATGGAATAGTCATCACAGCTTCGCACATGCACAGCAAACAAGGCCACATACCGATGCATGGCCATTCACGATTTTTGTCCATACGAGGTGAGACTATTTTTATCGTTTTTTGATTCTGCAAACCCTAGAATAATGAAGAGAGCAATTTTTATATTTCACAGAAAGTAAACTTGTGTGATCACAGCAAAAAGACCCAAGACAACTGTAACCAATACTGTTTTCATGACAACATATTCATAATCTTTCGAAAAAATGAAAAAGATAATAATTATGCTAATATTTCCATGTGATGATTGAGGCAATATATTTTTACAAAATCATTTAAGAGACTGTAACAGAAATTGAGTATTTTTTCATTACAACCCAATACTTATGTGGTTAGATTGCTATCAATATAATGCAAACTAAAAGCTTTATTTATCCACTACCTTCTAAATGACTCTCAAAAACTGTGAAATGAGTCATGATGACTCACAGGCTTCACTCAAATTTTCACTGGCTAGGTGAAGCCTAAAATGTTCAGACAAGAAAAATATAAAACCAATAAACAGAGAAAATTCTGGCCTAAAAATACATAGAAAATTAATTATTAAACAACACTATGGGCAGATTCTCAACCATGATGTCTTCACAAAAAACATTTAAAGAAGAATTCAATAAAATAAAATGTTTGACAATTATTATAAAAACACACCAAAATTCCACAAGCATAAACAATTCCTTTGCACCTCATATTCCTTGTATTTGACAAAAATTGAAACTTTTTAACCTGAGTGAATTCTGTGGTTTCGGTACCAACTGCTAAACACAATATCCCCTCCACGATGTTTGGATGACCTGATAAGACACTTCTTAAACAACAGCAGTTTGCTACAACCAAACAATCTCCTCACACAGGCAACAATTTGCTTTCTCCTTTCTAGACCCCCTAGTATCCCCTCCGCTATCCCCCCAGCCCCACCCCAGGCCTCGACATGGCCCCACCGTATTGAATGCCTATGAACAAAAGGATCCAGCCAGCGACCAGGTAGAAATAACCAAAGCACTTACGACTTGATAATGAGGACGGGGTAGCGATATCTCCAGTTGTTCTCTATTATTTCCTTGACCTGCTCTACAGGTGGGGAGAAAACCAATCATGGCCAACACAGATTCCGGTTGTAGATTTAGAGAAGCTATTTCATGTATAGAAATATCTTGTGGCATCCACCAGCTTTGTTATGAAGCTTGATTTGTCTGCATTTTCAAATCGGTTTTGTTTAAGAATCGGTTTTAAAGCATAAGAATTGCTGTCATTTTTCGCAGTATAAAGAAACTTGGTGCATTACATTTGTGAAAATATTTGTTTCTGAAAAATGATGGATATTGTTGGTCTGTCTGAAGTTATTTTCTAAATCATGTTTGTCACACATCCACATCGAGATACAGTGAGTGAGTGAGTGAGTTTAGTTTTACGCTGCTTTTAACAATTTTCCAGCAATATCATGGCAAGGGAAATCAGAAATGGGCTTCACACAGAGAAACTACCCCATTCTCATCACCAGACATTAATTATTCTTGCAACATATAGGTTCTTTAGCTTTGTTTTTCAATGACACAGTCAGCTACATTCAAGCCATAAGGGCGGTGGGGTAGCCTAGTGGTTAAAGCGTTGGCTCGTCACACGCCGAAGACCCGGGTTCGATTCCCCACATGGACACAATGTGTGAATCCCATTTCTGGTGTCCCCTGCTGTGATATTGCTGGAATATTGCTAAAAGCGGCGTAAAAATAAACTCAGTCAGTCAGTCAAGCCATAAGTCTGGGATCCATGAATAACTGAATCTGGACCTGACAACCCAGGGACCAACATCATGAGCATCAAGCCATACAATCAGGATATAATCAACCCAATCTTTAACACAGTTGTTGGAGATCTTTATTCTGACCAGAGCCCCCCAATATCAATACATTAAATCCACAGGCAAGTGTTGAAACATTATTTAAGAATTGAGGCATGGACCAATCATGTTTAACATGACATGATGTAACCATACACCTTCAGGAAAGGACTGACTGACTGAGTTTTGGTTTTACGCCGCTTTTAGCAATATTCCAGCAACATCACGGTGGGGGACACCAGCAATGGGCTTCACACAATGTACCCATGTGGGGATTCGAACCCGGGTCTTCGGCCGGACGAGCCAGTGCTTTAACCACTAGGCTACCCTGCCGCCCCTTCTTCAAGGAAGGATTTTTTAACAGTCAACAGCGATGGCTAATTTCAAGGCCTTGTAAATATCTTTTTTTCAAGGTCCTTTTAAATAGTGACTACCAAATTCAAGCCCTTACAACCTCACTCATCCCTCTGAGTCCCTTCACCTTTGACACAATGGTGGTCGACAGGATTTAAAATAATACTTATCACTAAAACATATTTTGATAAATAACAGCAACATAACTGTCAAAAACAAATATT